AAAGGGGAGATGGTGCTCCTTAGCTGAGAGCCTACATGAACTCATGAATTATATATCTGGGAGCTTCTTCACATTCCTCTTCCCTGCTGCTTTACAGGAACCATATTAAATTGAGTTACATATCTCAGAGGTTTGCTTTGAAACACATGGGCTACTTATCATGTTACACTATTATAAGAACTTGTGAACTTTACAAATCAAAGAGAAGCTTGCACATGTGTTTTACCACATTTTTATATCCCAATGCCTGTCAAGTTTCCAACTTGCACCAGGCCGACTGTTTGATTCATTCCTTGGTCACAAAATCATTTTCACTCTTTCATCCTCCCAAAACTATCTTGTCCCTTTCCTTTTCTTCACTAAGCAAAACTCCACCCTGTTCACAGCCTAATTTGGGTTTCTTTCAAGTGCCTCTGATGGCTTCCCTTTGGGGCATCCCTCAATACCATCCCCACTTCCAAGGGATTCATTACTGAAACCCTGAAGGTAAGGGCATGGATTTTAGATAAATTGCCAGTGCCTGGTATCAGCCCAATTCATGGCAGTAAGATTATATATATACATATATATAATTTATTTATTTATTTATTTGACAGAGAGAGACAGTGAGAGAGGGAACACAAGCAGGGGGAGTGGGAAAGGGAGAAGCAGGCTTCCCGCAGAGCAGGGAGCCTGACGCAGGACTCAATCCCAGGACCCTGGGATCATGACCTGAGCTGAAGGCAGACGCTTAACGACTGAGCCACCCAGGCACCCCTCATGGCAGTAAGATTAAAGTGAAAAACATACACACTGTGGTGGACAACCCACAAAGCCCTATCCTTCTGCTTCCTGGTGTTCAGGCCTTTGTGTAAGCTCCTCCCCTGAATGGGGGTGGGACCTGTGACTTGTTTCTAATCAACAGAAGACAGCAAAGTGATGGGATAGATGTGAGTGCATGTACATAGCTATTACAGAGAAGTGTAATGTCTAGCCTATGAGGAGGTGCTCTCCCTTGCTGGCTTTGATGAAACAAGTAGCAATGCTGGGGAAGGCCACATGGCAAGGAACTGAGGGCAGCCTCCAGCTGGCAGCCAGCAAAAGCTGAGGACTTCAGCCAACAGGCTGAATGCTGCTAACAACCACATGAGCTTAGAAGTGGATCCTGCCCCAGTTGAGCCTCAGATGAGAAAGCAGCCCCGGGCAACACCTTCACTGCAATCTTGTGAGAGTCCTAAACAAAGAATCCTGCTAATCTATGCTCAACTGCTGACCCACAGAGACTGTGAGATAATAAATGTGTGTTGTTTTAAGCTCTATGGGCTATGCAGCAATAGATAACTAATTATATGAACAAACAGAGAAAAAGTAAAGTATCCTCTGGCATCTGAAAGCCGACCTGGCATTCTCAGCAAGGCCTTGATGTTGCTGGGAGTTGCCCTGCACATACTTGGTCTTGGTGTTAAACACAGGTAATTCCAAAGAATGTCAACATCACACAAGGTCTTGAAGATGAAGGCAAAAACACGACCACTCTGTAATCATGTCTGAACATGGACAAAACTTAATCATTGCTCAAATCACAAAAATGGACCAAACATCCCCCTATACTGGCTAATATGAGTACACAGCTTTAACCCTGACTCATTACCCCATCTTTTTAATTTTTTTTTCATTCCTCCATCTTATAAAATTTATTTAGCCACTCATCTATAGAATTGCCCTTCCTTAAAACATCCAACACAGAGCAAAGCCCTACCTTCTTGGTCCTTCCCTCAAAACCCCTAAAACAAGCCCAAATCCCGTAGTAAGTCTTTTCTAATGCCTCCTTACTGAGATGCCGTATGGCTTCCCACTGGTGCACAGTCTCCCCCACCAGCACCAACAATAAACCCTACTGTTCAACTACAGTTGTGTTCCTCATGGTCTCTGGTGGGAGGCCACTGATAAAACAAGAGCAAACAATAATGCATACAACTGCAACAAAGCCAAACATAACGTCACCATGGAACTTGCATAAAATTAGAGGAGTGTAAACCAATAAAGTAAGAAACAGTCCATATACAGTTTAAATTAGATCAAAGCCACAAAAATAGAGTAAGCTATCTCTAAGTAAGTATAAAGAAATTATGAATAAATGGTATTAGGAGAGTGGACAGGAGGAGGAAAATTAGCACGGATCCCATTTTAGACTAAATAAAAGTGAACTCCACATAAGTTAAAGAATTAAACATAATCAGTAAAAGATGAACTGAAATGTAATGGATTACTTTACTAGATCCATGGAAAAATGATGACCCTGTCACCTGGAAACAGTAACAAAAAGATCCACTGATTTAGGTACAAATTCCTTGTTTATAATGAAAAGCAATTCAAAAATAAAAGAACAGCCAAGAAATACTTCTGTGATGAAATACATAAATACAGAATACAGACTATATACAAATTTACAAGAAAAACATCACATATCCAAAAGATAAATGAGTACAGGGAATAACAGACAATTTACATAGTAGAAAACAGAGTAAACAAAACATGGAACCATGGTCCAACCTCTTGGGTTCAAAGAGGTGCCATTTTATGGTACTAAAGTAGCAAGTTAGACAAATGAACAAAGTTGGAAATGTTGGGCCATGGTGAAGCCCCTTCACCACTGACAGTATTTTATGTTGTTACAACTTATTTGTAAAGCAACAAAGAGAGGTCATAACCCAACATCCAACTCCTAGGAAACCTTTTAGTAGAAACTATCTGCTCAGAGTTTACGACAGTGTTATCCACAATGGCAAACACAAACAAAAGTCGAACAATAGGGAAATGTTTGAGGAATTGGGCTGTATTAACACATGGATTATCCAATATTCAAATAACTGCAAAGGCCAGAAACACAGAAAATGTTTAGGATTTGAAATGACATAAAAAAAAATGCAGACTATAAAAAAGCAAATGAAAGCGACCATTAGCTGAATAGCTATCACGTGCCAGACACTGTTCAAGGCATTTAGTCACATTTTACTTAATCTTCACAACACCCTGACAGCAAAGTAATATTATCCCCATTTTATAGGGGGAGATAGGAGGACAAAGAGGGTTTAAATAAATTGGTCAAGGTCATACAGCTGGGAAGTAGAGGAGACAGATATGAACCAAGATATAACTTCAAATGCTGTCTTTTTAACTATATCACCCTACCTCTTTTAGATATACATGATGGCTGCAACTAGGAATAACCATGGATATGTGGGACAGACCCTGGGGGGTAATATGTAAATGTGAGATGACTGTGATATGGGAATAGGATTAATAGGATTTAATTTTAAAAATCATTACCTTTAATGCTGTATGATCTACAGACATAATGCAAACAACACAGACAGTCAAGCAGTGAACTCTGCACCTCTAATTCTTCATGAGGAGTTTAATTATATATGTTCTTAGAAAGAGACCTGTCCAAAACTACTTCTAATGTCACTCTCTTCTGGAAGAATGGAATGTAGGTAGAGAGTGCAGCCACTGGTGTTGGGTATAGATCACTGTACAAGGGTGAGGAGGGGAAAGTTCAGGGGATAAGAGAACCAGAAGGAGACATGGACATGCAGAGCTGACTAGGGAAAGAGGTAAGCTTCAGGACTCCCAGGCAAGGAGAGGCATACTACCAACAAAGGAGGGTCAGCCTGCTTGCTTTCCCTCTTAAAATAATCTGAGCTCCTATCTGCCTGCAGTGGGTAAGTATGAAGACAAAAGTCAGGGCCCCTGCAGTGAGTGTCCCATCTTCTAGTTGTCTTTTTTTAAAAACTGGATTCAGCAATGCTGTGTGGCAACATAAGGGCAAATGTAGGCTCATACTCTTGTCATCCACGTGTGTGCCGACCACAAATCAAGAAACTTTCTTCTTGGGGCAATGAATGAATCATTCTCCTCAACTACATTTTCAAGGCTTTTAAGCTGGTTTGTACTTTTAGGATTATCTAAATCCTTTTCCGGTCAAATCTCTGAGGACACTTTGACCACAGTCACCTTTCCTGGGTGGCAAATTGAAACAGAGGACACTTTGGACTCTATGAAAGTTGGATTAGAAAACCCATAGTAAGAAGCACTGACTTGGGAGGGAGGGCATAGGGGAAACATGAGAATCGCACCCCCAGACATTCTAAGCCATTTTACTCACTGTATTGCTCAAAGACCCCTCACTTGGTGGGAGGTGACCATCTGCTGTGTTTACAGTAGGTCATAACTCTCAGTTTCAGGAGACATCCCTTCCCCAAGTACATCATCTGTGCAAAATCACTTCAGAATATTGCACGGAGGGTCAGAGCAGAACTAATTTGTGGTCAAGGTTCTGAGACGGGGAAAGCAAAGCTGGATGTTTCAACAGACATCAACGTTTTAGGGGGATGGATTGAGTATGGCTGGGAAAGGAAGGATGTGAAACAATGCCCTGTAAATCTGATTTTACTGATACTACATCTCAGCCGGACCAGAATCAGTTACATGCAAAATGATTAATCACTGTCTCCCTGAAATAGTCAAGGTCCTGCTGCCCATTCTTAGGATAGAAAAAAATCTAACACTGAAATATGACTTTCAGGCTTTAGTTCATTCTATACCCTTTTAATAAAGTGGAACAAAAAATTTTGCCTTGGGCTTGGCTGAGTTATGGGGTTTGTCTCCTAAGTGGCAAAGCTTATTCTTCGACCCAATCACCAAACTGAGCCCGAGTTATAAGCCTGGTACAGAAGGAAAAATGTCTGTGCTATACCTCAGGAATCAATTTATCAGATGCGATCATTGCTCTGAGAGACAGTTTTCTCTTTATATGTATAGAAAAATTGGCACTACAGAAGAAAATTAACTGAGCTAATGGGCAAATGCTGACGGCTTTGCATGGCATGCATGTTTCTAACAAATGTTGCTGCTGAATTACAACTTGACTCCATCGATGATGCAAAAGGGTTTAGGGACACAGAACAAATCCTGGGGGCATGACCTGAGGCAAAGACTCCAGCCGGGCCCCCACGTACCTTCTCTGCATACTCGGACACAATCTGCTTGATCTCAGCGGAGCAGAGTCCCACGATTTGGCCCACCGAGCTGGCGGTGAGGCGGCTCTGCAATCACAGGGAGAGGGGGTTCTAGGTCATGCTTGTCTTTCACAGAACTGGAAAATCTGAACGCTCTGAGTCGTAGAGCAAAAACAGATAATATTCCCAGGGGGAAGAATACTCTGGCTTTTGTTTAGGTATCCATCAACAAGGAATGGGGAAACAAGCCTTGGGACAAATGTTAAGCCATCTCTCTACCTTCTGAGTCATTCGGTTGATTGTGCCAGATTCTTCCTGGTCCCTGGGTGCCCCTGGGAGATCGTTCTTTACCCCAAATACCCCATCTCAGGGTCTCTTCCTCAGCATTACTGACAGAGCCTGTAGGGAACATGGAGGGCTGACAACTCAGGGGAAAAAGAAGTACAAATGGGAGAGGAACAAGAATCTTAGAACTCTCCAAATATCTTTTAACTACCAAAGCCCTTTCCTGCCCTAAAAAGGAGGGATCCTTTCAAAGCCCTTGGTGAAACCTTTTGGACAGGCCTTGAGCTCTGGAAGACCAACGATAAATGCGGTATTCTATTTTCTACCCAGATGGCGTGGGAAGGAAACAGAAGACGAGGGCTCTTCTGGCATGGGTGGTTATGGAGAGGCAGGGCTGACACGGCTCCTCTACAGAGGGTAGAGGGACCCTCCCAAGGGTCCTTCCAGACCCCCAGAGGTTCCCAAGGATGGCAACGCTATGCACTGGCAGAAAGCTTCCTAAAAGAAAGACCCTAAGGAAAGAGGAAGCATTGAGTGCTGAAAAGACAGGGCTCTGATGAAGGGGGTCCCTCTGGGAGGAGGCCCCCCGGGGCAGCGCAGGGCGGTTCCACGTCCCCACCTCCACACCGCGCCCCCCGCGCAGTCCCCCCTCACCTCCTCATTCGCCATGGCAGTCATCTTGGTCATCAATGACTGAATACGTTGCTGGAAGAGGAATGGGGAAAAGTAGCAGTGAGTGGACCCCAGCACCTAAGGCTTCCGCGACGGGTCTACACAGACCTTTGTGGTACAATCCAAGGGTTGTTTACTTGCTCTCTCATAGTGAGGCTCATGGGGGAAGGGGTGAGAAAAGGAAACTGGAAAGAGTGTGAGAGGCCAGCTAACAGCAGTGTGGGAGGCAGCTAGCCATTTTGCAAAGCTGGGGATGAAGGGGCAATTTCTCCCCAGATGACTGAAACAGAAACCCCAGGGACCTATGTGGGCCACACACCTCTTCAGCAGCTTGAAGCTCATCTTCCTCATGGGCATCAGCTTTTTCCGCAGCCGAGAGCCCTGTGGAAAGTGCCGTCTTCTTGTCCTCGGCCTGGAAAGGAAGATGCAAAAATAGCTGGGCCCTGGAGACGAAGACTCAGTAGAGAAAGGACAACAACACAAAGGGGCACAGATCTGTGAAAGACAACACGCAGATCTGGAAAGGTGAACCGGTCCCTGACAAAGAGTGGGGAATCCAGAGACCTGAGCTTCCAGTCCAACCACAGACCGAGCAGGTCGAGCTCCGGGCCTTGGCCCATGCCTTGCTCCATTGCTGCACTGCTTGCTGATTCAGTTCCTATCAGGTCGCACACATTTGCCAGATTTATCCTTTGACTGGGGTTCCCCTTTGCTTTAACACCTTCAAAAGCAAATCACTGCCTAAAGGAGTGTTTTACTCAAATGGCCAGTTGAGACCCATCAGTGGGACATGAAAGTCCTTTAGCAGGTATGGCCAGCATCTACATAAATTAAGCAAAAATAAGAGAACAGGACACATCAGAGTGCTTTGCATGTAGTAAAGGGGTAAGTACTGCTGTGTGAAACTTTTATTTTGGAGGGGTGTGTGTGTGTGTGTGTGTGTGTGTGTGTGTACTGAATCATGATGAAAAATAGAATTCTTACTGCCGAGAGTGGTCAACAAAGTTTAAAAACCACTGGCCTGAAGGATAAACATCGAACTGCTTCACCTGGTGATCAAGTTTTTTGCTCTGGACCCAGCCTCAGGCTCTAAATGTATCTAACACCACGCTCAAGACACCTGGATTAAACGCTGTTTCTCAAACCTGCACAGCAAGTCTAGAGTGCTTGGTGTTAACTCCATCTCTGCACCCACCAGCTGGGTGACCACCGGCTTGCCTTCTCTGGGTATCAGGGTCTTCTTGGGTTGAAAAAGAGAACTGGTGGTCTCAGACACCCCCCTTAGACCATCCCAATGCTAGAAGGCCTTTCTATAACCTGCCTGTAACTGACCCCAGGGAACACTGTGAGCTCCTAATTGCCAGGTATACAGGTATCCCCTGCTTCCGAAAGCTCGTGTTAGGCCACTTTGCTTTCACAAAAGACCTACATTGGTACCTATTGTTGCTGACCAAAAGAAATCTGAAAAGGATTTTTGCTTTTACAATAAAAGGTGAAAGTGAAAACAGTTTTCAGTGTTTGTTTAGCCGTGAGCCATTAAGAGGGAGTGTGTAACCGGGGCAGTGAGGGTGGGCTGCCAAGCTCCTCCCCTGGAAATGACACTCAGCATCTCAGCATCAAGCTGCCAGAGCTTAGAGCTGTATCTGAGCATCTGTGCTTTATCTCAATTTATTTTGTGTGTCTGTTAGTAAGGCGTGTATCAGAAAAGCCTAAGAGGTTATTTTTGGGGTCTAGGAATGCTCAAAAAATTTTTTCATATAAATTAATGGCAATTGCTTCTTTGCTTTATACCATTTGGGCTTATAAAAGGCTTTATAGGTACACTCTACTTTGCAATAGTGGAGGAAACCCATATCTGTATTTGTAGACAAGCCCAAGGTGAATACTATTTAATGGGCATCACATGACTTTTCCAATCATAATTAATACACCCAATATCCACACGCACAGACATTCTTTTCAGACTAAATTACATACCAAATTGAATGTACACATCAAATTCTTATTATGTATCAGATGCCACCTGACATATACTCAAATCCAGAAAACACCTTGCTTTGGAGGAAATGACTGTTTAGTTTGGAATAAAAACACCACTGTGGAAAAAGTAAATGACGAGAAGACCAAGAAAGAAGCTATCCTAATCGATGATAAATAAATAAACGCCACTGATAAAATAGCTAGTGCTTACTAAATATCTCCTGTGTGATGAGTCAGTCTTCCCACCAATGCTGCGAGCTAAGGCACGGCGAGTCGGTACACCGTCCGAAGTCATGCAGGGGAGGGATCTGAAACCAGCCAGCCTGGCTTCAGCACACACGCTCCCAGTCACCATCCGTGCCCTCCGCTGACTGAGACAGCAACCACCACGTAACGTGGTGAGAGGCTGGGAGCCAGGGCAGGCTTTCTGGAGGGACTGAAGGATAGGGGTTCTGGACAGAGGGGGGCGGGGGGTGGCCGGAGAACAGAGCAGAGGGAGGAAGTGTCCAATGCAAGAAACTCTGGGCGTCTGCTGGGGAATGAGGAAAAAAAGGGTACCCAAAGATCTCGGACTCTAGGACTCTGCTTTTTAAGAGGCCACTGACAACTTTAGTTAGCACTTCATTATTTAAAAGCCTGTGGTCAAGAGCACAGGCTTTGATGTCACACAGACCTGCCTGGGCTCAGATTCTTATTATGGCACTTTAAGGGCTTACGTGATCTTGGACAAATCCCGGAGTCTCTTTGAGCCTCACAGCTTTCTGACCTCGGCTTTTCTGAAAAAAGGTAGTGTCTTCTTCATAGAGTTGTTCAGAGAAGTAAGTGAAAAAAAAAAAAAATACATGCAGAGCCCTGAACAAAGGGCCTGAGACACAGTAAGGGTTTGGCACTGTAAGATTTACATGACTGCCCTGCAGCCAACAATTAAGGGTCATCAATAAATATATAAATTAAGGGAGATTTCTGAGACTGCTCTGTGAAGTTAGAAACGCCACCTTGACTTACCTGAGTTTTCCACACTAGGTTGTCTTAGGGCAGGCCTGCAATACATGGCTGTGTTCTATGTCACTGGCAGCACCTGCTCACACCTGTCTAGGGTCTCCCTCATCAAGGGGGCAGTGCTCAGTGCCCTGAAGCGGACTTCCTCTTCACACCTCTGGAGTTAGGAGAGCCCACCTGGTTGGCCCTGGGGCCATGATTCCCATCACCCTTCACTTCCAGGCCTTCCATGAGGCTGCTGCTCTCTGGCCTGCAAAGGTAGCATGCTGCAGCTACGAGAAGGGAGATGCAGGGGCCCAGGGTAGCTGCCACATCCCCGCTGCCCAGGGTTGCCCAGGGACCAGAGCCTGGTGCGCCACAGTGCCGCCATCCCCCCGACTCTTGCTAGACAGGCGGCCTGTCAGGGTCAGACAGAGGCAAAGGGGAGGGGCGCTTCCATCTCTCCAATGTTCTCTCCCGTTATCCTTGCTTTTCTTACCTTCTCTGTTTTGCTCTGGCGGCTAAATCCGTATCTCCTGCAGGCCACAAAAAAGGGGAGTTCAATTACTATTCAAAAGTCACACAAATTTGGCCAATGCATTTTGGTTGGATTTTTATATGAAAAGCACCAAAGAAAATTTAGACCATATGGTAACTGGAGAAAAGGTCTTAAGTGCCTGAACCACAGACATATTCCACTGTTTTTGAATAAAGGACCAGCCATTCTATTTGCCACACGAATACTATAAATGGGAATTCTCAGAGGGCGCAGAGTGCAATATTCTCTTTAAGTGTAACCATTACTCTTTGATTTAGGAGCTGTATTTCAGGCCCACAGTTTAAGCTAAAAGCCTTAAAACTTTCTGTATAAACAAATGTGAGTATATTTGCTCGGGCTAAGGATGCTCTCTAATGATTATGTTCAGAACCTGGAGTCCGGCCCATTTTCCATTCTCAGACGTAGCCCAAGCATGATGCCAACAATGTTATGTGTTCACTTCAGGCAACCTTAAATTCAAAGAAACTCACAAATGCACCTTAGTTTAAATTAGTTTATTTTTAGGTTCTTTTTTTTTTAAAGCAAGTGTAACAATGCAAAAACCATTCGACCTAAAACAAAAAGCATGATGCAAAACACCACACCTCACTTACCTCAAGTAGTTTCTAAAGAGATAAAGGTACATGCGGCCATTTAAGAAAAGCAAATGAAGGACCCCTGCTCTACCCTCGCTCATGCCATGCCTCACCCGCTGGGCTGGTGCGCTGGTCCCCAGCCTCACTGCACCCCCACTCTTCCTCACTCCCTCTCCAGCTTCCCGGTGGCCTCATATACACGCGTCAATGGCGGGCCTCTTCCCTCTGGGCACCTTCATTAGGGCTTCCCTTCCATGGCTATGCCTAGCAACCTCCTAGCCTCACCTCCTCACCTGACAAGCTCCTGTGCATCCACGGCCTGACAGAGAGCTGTGCACACACTGTGCCCTTCTCCTACTTTCCATCCGCGCCCACACCTCAGCTCTCAAGCCACCTCCTCTGCACGTGTTCCCCCCACCTCCCAGATGGCGATCACGTCCAACAGTCTGTGTGCCTGTCTGCATCCTTTTCCCAGACGGCATGGGAGCTACTTTTTTTTACATTTTGTATTTCTAATGTATGTTGAACAAATAAACTCAACAGAAGTGGAAGAACATGCAGGAATCAAGCAGCCAAAGCATCACCTAGCCTTGTAGTAGGCTGTCATATAACTGGAGAGACCACAGAGTCCCACCCGGGCAGTGTGCCCATTCATTCAGCATAAATGTCCAGGTACGAAGTGCAGCCAACTGAAGGTAAATTCGGAGTGTCCATACACAGTTTCTAAAGGACCCTAGGACAGATTCTGCGCATTAGTTTCACAATATCTACTACATCTTCCTATACTGCAGAGGCTGGGAAACAAAAGACTCTATTTTCTTTTTCTTTTTTTTTTTTTTAGTGGGGCCGAAGGGCAGAGGGAGAGGGAGAGAGAGAATCTCCAGCAGGCTCCACTCTGAGTGCGGAGCCCGAGGCAGGCCTCCATCTCAGGACCCTGGGATCATGACCTGAGCCAAAATCAAGTTGGACGCTTAACCGACTGAGCCACCCAGGAGCCCCAAAGACTCTATTTTCTCTACTCCCTTGCACCCAGGGCTTGGGATGCGACATAGGCCCCACCAATCAGCTGCGCTTCCTGGCAATGTGAATGTGCAGTAGCCAGCTGAGCACACAGGTGTTGTGCTGCTGTGGATCACAGAGGTGACCTGGCTCTGGGGCCACCAGCTGTGGTGGCAGCATCCTGATTTGGGCCGAGGTGGCATGGTTTTTTTGTCAGCAGCCGTGAGGCCGGCGTCCCCACCCCACAGGCCACCAGCTGGCTGCCCCACGGTGGAAGCAGAAGCAGCATCCTTGGGAGGCCCGGTTCCGATGTGCTGCCTGGGAAGTGACCCCGGTTCAGCCTGGATCCCACCTCTCAAACCTTCCCAAGGATCCATGGAGTCAACCCCTGTTGCTGAAACTAGCTGGAGGAACCCTGGTTGGTCAGAACCCTGACCAATAGAGGGTCTTACCACAGTTCTCCACTCCTAGAAGTAACCTTGCACCTTGGGTGTTCCTTCGTTTTCCAGGTGTTTAGTCTGTGGAGACCCGTAGGGCAGACGACATACCCTCAGGCAGAGAGTCCTCATCTAAGGACCCAAAACTTTTTGGATTTTCCAAATAAAGCAGTAAACAACTAAATGTGAGTGACTCAGTTACTGCCCCTCCTACTCCTTTGTAAAGACACAGGTTGTGGGAAGACCCTTCTGACCACCCAAAGGCCTAGGTTAGGAACCAGTGTGCTCATCCCACAGGCTACAATAATTACATCTAATCCCATAAATCTGTCTGTTGAGCTCCTGGAGGGAGTGCTTCACTCATTTTTTTTTTTTTATCGTTTTTTAAACTGAGATATGATTTGTATCACATAAAACTTACCATTTGAAACTATATACTCCAGTGGTTTTTAGTGGATTCACTATTTGTTCAACCATCACCACTATCTAATTCCAGAACAGTTCCATCACTCCAGAAAGAAACGCCATACCTATCAGCAGTTAGTCCCAATTCCCCCTCTCCAGTCCCTGGCTACCACTCATTGGTTTTCTGTCATTTGATGGATTCGCCTATTCTGGACATAATCATATTTACAGAATCTTAGGTGTCCGTCTATAATTGGCTTCTTCACTTAGCATGTTTCAGACAGCTCCATTCGCTTTTGTACCCACAGCACCTAGGACAGTGCTTGGCACATAGTAGGTACTCAATAAATGTATGCTGAATGAGTAGAGTCCATCTGATTTTTCTGAAGATCTTCACCATGTGACATGGTGAGAAGGCTTCCATGACAAAGAGCTGTCCTCGGTCGCCTATTAATGCCTGCCTCATTATGTTCACTGGTCAAGATGTCTCTGGGAGACTTCCATGTTGTTTGAGCTTCACCAGGAGAACATGGTATCCCTTTCTGGCCTATCATCCCTCACAAAGAACAAGGGGATGCTTCAACTTATTTCTATTACAAAGCATTTACTTCTATCTTTCATAGGTATGCTGCTCTACCCTCCCACCTCCCTCTCCTCTTGCCCTGTCTGCCCTGCTCTTTCCTCACAAGTACCAGCCTGATCGGTGCTGCCAGAAGCTTTAATCTGTTTCCACCTTTCCCTGTGTTAGCTCTGACCCACCAGCCCTGCTGATGTCCTACGCTGTCAGCACTGACAGAACTCCAGCTTCTTACCCCCCCTTTACTTCCTCATATCCTACACCTCACACTTGATCTTTAACATCAAGGATGTACATCTTCTAGAACAGCACAGTCTGAAAAAAAAAATGCTAACAAGAGCCAAATAGATAACTTTAAATTAGTAGGTTTACATATTCAAGTTATTTCAAACTTAAACTTTTCCAATAACTAAATCAAGCATGAGTCTTTAATTTAAATGTAACTTAATTTAAATTAAAATTCTGTTCTTGAGTCACACTGGTCATACTTCAAGTGCTCAAGAGCCACATATGGCTAATACTATCGTATTGATAATTCTAGAAAATAAACTAACCTTCAAAAACAACTGCCACAGGGCAAATTAAGTCAGATATCAAACTATCTGGAATCCTGAACACAAAAGGGGCATAAAAAAGCCCTAAATACTAAGGACTGTGGACTCCGTTCTTCATTCATTCCACAAGCGTTTACTGATTTACTAAATACCTTCTATAAGCATGTCACAGGCCTTGCCATCGCAGAGGATACAAACAGGTTGGGAGAGTCATGTCATATTTCATTTACTAAGTACAGAATGACTTCAAAGCAACTAAAATTAGGCCTCAAATAGTGTGGAATAGGCTAATGCCAGTATTCTAGTGGTTATGCTTCAAAATTCCACCTCCAAGTTGTTAGAGAAAGCCACAGGCCCAAGGTACAGTCACTTGCCCTGTGACAGCAAACCAAGACTCAATTGCAGTGTCAACCCCTCCAGGAGTGGAATTTCAAGCTAATCAATCTGGAATTTTCTGGTCGGCACCAAAGAGGTAATCTGTCACAAGGGCCCTCTCCATCCTCCAAAGGAAGATGAGGTAATCACCTAATAAGACCCCATCTCTTCCCCCTAAAGGAAGGTGACCTTGCCTGAAACAATTCTTTGTTTTCTTTTGTTAATAACTTCTTACCCTACCCTCCTTCCTATAAAAACCTCCCATTTTGTACAGCTCCTGGGAGCTCATCTTTACTTGCTACACGGAAGGCTGCTGGATTCATGAATCACTTAATAAAGCCAATTAGACTGTCAAATGTACTCAGTTGAATTATGGTTTTTAACAGAGTCAAATATACCGCATATAAAATGCATTTCTCCACAGCAGCAATTTTATAGCATGGTTAGGTGTTTTAATTTAGCTCCTCAAAGCTGACTGGACCCGTAACAAAACTGAAATACGATAGACTTGCAATTTTGTTTAAGTCTAAAATCAAAACCATGAGTCTTGTTTTTCCAATACCATAACACTTAAACCAATCTATCCAAACATGAACAGGCACACACAGACCTTAAGGCCTTCAGCATGGCTGACGGGGCTCAAAGTCCAACTTCATTTCAGCAAGTAAGTCAAAAAAGGTGGAAGATGCTGGAATGCTGACCTCAAAGCCAGATGCACTGTGGGCCTAGGCTAATGAGTAACCTTCAACCCCAAAGAGTTTCAGACCTTCTTATTCCAGGAGTCAAAATACTTGCCCTCTTATCAAGAGGTGAGATAGACAGAAAACCAGAGCCACTGACAAGAGATGGGGGATGTGGATTCCTAGGTGGGGATGAGTAATTAGGGGTGCCATGATGTTCACACTGACGGGAGAGACAGGACGGAGGAGGGTGAGTCCCAGGGCCAGTGGAGGCCCAGCCTTGCTTGACTGGGGAAGGAAGGGAGGAAGAGTGGGTGACACTTCTCGCAGGGCGGGGGAGGGCTAGTGCTAGGGGTACAGAGCACAGGGACAAGGAGAACTAAAAGGAGAGGCGCATTTGTTTTTTTTGTTGTTTTGTTTTTTGTTTTTTTAAAGATTTTATTTATTTATTCATGACAGACAGAGAGAGAGAGAGAGGCAGAGGGAGAAGCAGGCTCCCAAGGAGGAGGGAGCCTGATGCGGGACTCGATCCCAGGACTCTGGGATCATGATCTGAGCTGAAGGCAGATGCTTAACCATCTGAGCCACCCAGGTGCCCAGGAGAGGCGCATTTGAATCTACAGGTCATATTTAAGGGCATTTGAGAACTGAAAACTGTTGCTGCTGCTGATGCTGATGACAGAGCCTAGCAGTCAACGTTTACTGTTTTCTGCACAGGACAAACTACTTAGATTTCTTCACGTGTGTATTGGTATGTAATCCTCGTTTAATGGACAAGACCATTTGTCTAGGGGACAGTACTGACCGAACACTGAGGAGAAAGTCTGATGGCCAGAAAGGAGGGGAGGGCCTTCCCAAGGAGAGGGAATGAAACGAACACTTGCTAGGGCTTTAAGTTTTGTCCAATTTGCTCCATCAGTTTTAATAAGCACTCTCCTCTTGTTCTGTGTCAGACCAAACAACAAAGACTGGGCCTGTGTTTCTAAAACCAGAAGCCAAACTTCCCCTGGAGACTCAAACAATACCTGGAGCTAATGATAAAAGCATGCTATGAGGGTCCAACGAACCTGAGTTCAAGTTCCAGTGTGAGGCTCTTAATAATTCTTAAGAGTAGTTAATAGTTGACTTTGGGCAAGTTACTTTTTAAATTTTCTAACGCTGTCTTTACCATTCTCAAAAAAGGGAGTTGAGCTAATTAAACCATCAGAATGTCCTAAGTATCCACTTCCCCACTTCTCACAAACTCAGCCTCTCCTCATCAGGAAAGCTAAAAAGAGAGTAAAATAACTTCTCTCCTAAAAAAACAGAATCCTTCATCGAACACCTACCCTAAGCTTGGAACTCAGCAGAAATCAGCCTGACCCCACCAACAGGAACCAAGATGGACGTTGACACACTCTGCTCTTTCTTGCACTCCAAATTTGAGAGGAGTCACGAAGAAAACCTGTGCATTGCTCCCTTCCCTAAAGAAAGCCCCGCCAGGCTCTGGACTCCAACCACACCAACCACTCGTGAGGATGGGCAGGGGCGTCCTGAAGTTACCCAGCCATCACTTGACAATAATGACTACCCTCTATGACACACGCAAAAGAGCCAGTTTAAAACTGAGAATTTCAAAACAGGGAAATATTGTCAGCCTGGTCTCGGTAAGGTGGACAATTCACCGAATCTCTGACTCCTCTTCACCCCCAGGAGCGTCTGAGTATCCATGACAATGGGCAAAAAATGGAGCTATGAACAATACAAACTAAGAAAACCACAACATTCCCCTGAGTATTCTTTGGCCCTGGAACACGGGACACCCGGGGAGGTTGTCTCTCCAGCTGTGGCTCACCTAGAGCCGTGCGCCCTCACCTGCCCACCTACAGCTGGGGCTTGGCTGGAAAACCCCGTCGCAGTGCCCAGGGCATACAGCTCAGAAGGGCCCCACACCTGGTTTTTGTTGCTGTCTTGAAATTCTTTTTTTTTTTTTTTTAATTTTTATTTATTGGTCAGAGAGAGACACAGTGAGAGAGGGAACACAAGCAAGGGGAGTGGGAGAGGGAGAAGCAGGCTCCCCACCAAGCAGGAGCCCAACGTGGGGCTTGATTCCAGGACCCTGGGATCATGACCTGTGCCGAAGGCAGATGCTTAATGACTGCCACAGGCGCCCCTTGAAATTCTTAATAATTAGTCATTACTAGTAATTCTTATTTTATCCTGGGCCCCACAAATTATGTAGATGGTCTGGTGGTGCCTGACTCTGAAGAGGAGTTCAATTCACAGCCGCGACTGGGGAGCTGTGGAGCAGCCATCGGACCTGGCTGAGGGCCAGCACTAACACCTTCCTCTGAATGAAACAGACTAGCTTTCATTCTTAGGAAGGACGGACCTGACACCACACAAGCCCCTCAACAAGAAAAAGAAGAAAAAAAAAAAAAGGTGGCAACTTTTTTGGGAAATTTTTTCCATTTGAAAGATGAGGTATTGAAGCCAATGAAGCCTAACTTCCTTCCAGTTGTGTCTGGGGCCTCAGAGGGGGTAAGCCTTCAGATGCTCACTCGGGGAGGCGAGCTGTTAGTCCCAGCTGCCCAAGGAGGGCTGGGTTATGAGGCAGAGCAGCATAGAGCAACCACTCCCAGATTAAAGAAAGGAAGCACAAGGAGCCATACTCACATCCAGGGATCAGTTATCCTATGTAGAAAACGCAGGACATAAATGAAGGTTAATACCCAAGGTCAACCAAGAAATTCAATGAGGACAGTACTTCTTTGTGTGCTTTTTAAGTAAAAAATGAGGATAAAAGATAAATGGCTTTTTAAAAAATTAGGAAGGTTATTAAGAAGTGATAAAATATTTCTAAATTCTTCATCTTTCTGCTCAGGACAATCCCTCACGGGAAACCAAAACTATTACTCTAACACTTAGAACTACCGTAATTGTTTTCAATTCTGTAATTTTCCCCGAAGATTTTAACGAATGGCAGGGGCATGAAGGGCAGACCACTCCTGGCCTCTGCAAATACCCCCAAACACCTCAAATCCCCAGGAGGGCAGAGCCAAGGTGCACAGTTACACACATATTTCCGGAGGGGAACTGCAAAGATCAGGCCTCCACCATCATCAGGGAAGCTACCCAGAGAGAAAAGTCCCTGGTGATGGAAATCTCAGGCCAAAAACAGTAAACTGTCAGGTAAAAAAAAAAAACCAACCAAATTAATCTCAATGAAGCAATCCAAATCAGTTTTTCTTCTCAAGGGTTTTATAAAATAGACACCTCAGGCTGGGTCCCCTTCATTACCTGCCATATTCCAAAAGCGTGGCATGGACTCGAGATTCTTCATCGAGCAGCTCTTCTGCTCCCTGTTGGCGTTTGTATTTCCGACGGGGCTTGTAAACATCCTAAGAAGTGGATGAGACAGACGACTTACTGAGTGTGAGAACACTCTCCTTCTGAACTGCCTGCTGGGTGCATCCAGCCAGTTAGGGAAGCACGTCTTTCCCCATCATGGTGAGTGTGCCCGCCTCCCGCAGGAGAACAGTGGGCACTCAGGGTGGCCGCCTTCAAGGAGTCTGCTCCTTTGACATTCATATAGGTAGCAAGTATTTCCACTCAAGATATAGCTTGTCAACTTTAACTTGGGGTTTCTTTTTTTTTTTTTAAGATTTATTCACTTATTTTTAGAGAGAGGGAGAGAGAGCGAGCGAGTGTGGGGGGAAGGGCAGAGGGAAGGGGAGAGAGAGAATCCCTAAGCAGACTCCCCGCTGAGCATGGAGCCCGATGCGGGTCTCAATCCCATGACCCTGAGATCACAACCTGAGCAGAAACCAAGAGTCGGACACTCAACTGACTGAGCCACCAAGGCGCCCCCTTCGTGTTTCTTTTGTCCTATGGCATTTTAATATTTTATGTGGTCAAACTTATCAATCATTTTATATCTTACTTCTTATTACCAGGGATTGTAAAAAAAAAAAAAAAAAAAAAAGTTCTCGTATGTTACTTGTATAGGTTATACTTAGCTTTTTAATCTATTCAGAAGCTTTTTTTCCTGAATGGAAAATTAAGAATCCCAACATCATCAATTTAATAGTCCAGCCTTCCCCAGATCTGAAATGGCATACATGTATAACATGTACCAATGTTACCCTCTTCAATTCCTCTTGCTTTATGAACCTTTATCCTGTCTCCACTGTTCTTTTTCAAATTTCCTGGCTATTGTTAAACATTCTCTCTTTCAAATGAATTCTAGCATCAACTTGTCAGGTTCATAATAAATAACTGTTGAGTTTTGATTAGAATCACACCAAATTTATAGATTATTTTGGAAAGAACTGGCATATTTATAATATTGAATCTTGTCTTGAGAAGCAAGGTTTATCTCTCTATTCAGATTTTTTTATTCCTTAATAAAATTTTCCAGAAAAAAATATAAATTTTCTTGTCACTGCATATCCAGACCTTTCCGCCACCCAGGGTCACAAACCAGTTAAACAATCACAGGTGTACAGGTTAACCCAGAATCCTTAAAAAAAAATTCCTAAATGGTAAAGGAGATTTCAATTCCTAGACTCTAATAGCAGAAAAGAAGAGTAGATACAAACCCTTCAGCAATAATATCTTTTTTACAAAAGTACCAGGCTGAAGTTTATTAAAAAAAAAAAAAGTGTATAAAAACACAAAATGCTCTATCAACTTTCACTGACTTTTAAAATTACTAGAGTGTGATTTAATTACAAATGTAGAAGCAAACATAGATCTATTTTGTATAGGACACATTCTGAAACATAGTATTTCTTGAACAAAGTATGTGGCATGTAGTAGGTGCTCAATTAATGTAGTTCTTTACCCCTAGATGACCTGATTTAGCATTCCGCCCCAAATGAATGTCCTTCTTGAGTGTCGAGCTGGCAGTCAAATAATATCTTAGTAAAATGTGTTCAGGGCTCTGGGTGCAAGTAGGCAAATATTTATGCAAGGAAGGTATTCCAGTTGTTCGTCCCTGGATCTTTTCTTCTCCACGACCAGAGTTCATCACAACTAACCTCTACCTGGACATCACTAGGACAAGCACTACTATCAGGTTTCTTCAGATAGTGGTATTTTTATTCCAAGTAGAATTGTACCTCCCATGATAATTCTTGTTAACTTTGTTATTTTACTTTTTATTACGAAAAGTTTCAAACATACAGAAAAACATCCTTTTGTAACACATACTATGTAATTTTAACAATTCTGTAAAAGAAAAGGAATGGACTAGGGTCTGGGATGATGCTGGAGTGTTGTTCTTATGACTTGCCGCCAGAAATAATTCCTAGTTTGCTGCTGGTGTCTACACGAATAGGAAGCTATAAATAATGGAAAACAGAATCATGGGGAAATGCAACATATAATGAATCCACATGACGTTAGTTACTACATATGATTTAATTCTCACTGAGCTCTATTATAGCAGTACTATATAATTGAGCTTAACAGCTATCTTCCTTAGTTACCACCGATAGAGTCAATGACCCAAGACAGGAAATTGGATTCTTCTAAAAAAAGGACTGACTCCAAAACAATAGCATACTGAAACCAACAGCTACAAGGACCTTTTATTCTGGGAAACAGTGACAATGTTGGCCTTTGTGTAATTATTCCTTACACTTGAAAGCACCTCATATACACCTCACCTTTGCATTTTATAACTGTTCCCAGAGGTAGAGACAAGGCAGATGCTGTTACCCCCACTCCACTACTGAAGAAACAGAGATTAAATAATTTGTCCAGGATCTCTCAAATAGTATTAGGCCTGGCCCTAGGTCCCGTGGCTGCTAGTCCCAGGGTTTTTCCAATACCCTCACTTGCTTCTGGTGGGCATTCCCGCCACCCTCCAGCCATCTTAGGTGAGTCCTCTCATGAGACCGCCATATACCTGAGGCTGCCACATGGATCATTACAGTGGTTCGCTTAAATAACAAGGACCTAAATGTCAGGTTTTCAGGCCAACTTAAAGAACTATTGCTAAGTTACCCTTTAAAGCAACAGAGTCAGAACCACAGATGTCTAGTCTGGTCTCTGCCATTTACTAGCTCTATGACCTCAGGAATTCCCTTCAATGGACCTGTTTCCGTCTCTGTAAAACCAGGGCTAGACTAATAGCCCTTGAACAGGCTCTTGTTCTCTGTGCTAAAGGACACATGAGCAGGGTGTGAGAGTCACAGATTTCTACCTTACAGGTCTGGCTACAGGACACCAATTAGGAGAATTCCTGAGTCACATTTCAAATGGCAGGGGAGGGAAGTGGGGGAGCACAACATCGGGGCAGCGTCTGCAGCAAAGATTAATCACAATTACGGTGGGTATCTCCTTTCTGAAATAATGAGCAGGCAGTGAGACAGCCATCACCAACTTGGCATTCTCTGGTTAAGAGCTCCAGTGGGCCAGGCCACACCCAGGTCTGCAGGGAGTGACATTCCCCTGACTTGCGTCCACTGACGTCAACACATTCTCTCAAGGCTCAACCCTCAGACATGCCTCAGTCCAGGAGCCCCACGAACTAACTCTGCTTCACCTCACGGGGCTCCACAGATGTCTCCACCATCAAGACCAATGTCCTGAAAGATCCTGTAGGAAAAAGTTATTATAATTGGGACAAATACATTTGCTTGCTTTTTTTTTTTTCCTATTCTCACGCTAATAAAACAACAAATGAAACAAAGCCCCTGGGTACTAAGTGAAGGAAATGGGAGACCAATGGATGGCAACTATTTCTGGAGAGGGGAACACATCTGCAGGGAGGAAAGTGAGCTGGGGAGGCAGTTTTCTCCAGACTTTGTTTCCTTTCTCTTCTCTTTCACATGAGCCCTGCTCTGCAGCTTCAGGACCGGCACACATCCCGCCACAGGGCTCCTTGAGTCGAACAGTATAATTTGCTGGTAAGACTAAGGTCACTGTATTAAGTAAAGGAGCCAAAGATGGCTTCTGCACGTTGGCTCTTAGGTTTATTTCCTCACAGCAGGCTGAGACCTAGTGGCTCAAAAGCACGCCAGGGCCAAAGTCAAATTTTTACACATCCAGTTGTTTCAAACATGGCCCAAAGAGGCAGATTTTTAGCCACTTACAGCCTGTCTATGTTGCATACTCTACAACACTGCATTTGCTAACCAGATAGGATAAAGCCTGGGACTGTAAAGACCCAAAACTGCTGCTGCAGATCTCTTTCAGAGACCTCTGGCTAGAGATTCTCTGTGCTGTTGCTGCGTGACATCACCGAGGCACGTGGACAATCTCCAGGACCCCCTGGCGGGTTCCCTTGCTACCCTCGCCTTCTGGATGCAGCCCCGGTGCCTAGAACTCTGGATGGTGGCTTGCTGTGAGGGACTGACTGCCCCATCTTACAAGCAAACCTGTCAAAGCATCACCCCAATAAAGCTTATGTGTGCTGCTTGCCCCCTCGTGGTCATATCTTTTTCCTTGATGAGACCCCAAATTCCCTTGATTCCCTTACTGCTTTTACCTCACCTCCTAGAGTGCAATCTGATACACAGTGAGTGTGCAACTAATATTACTGAATGAATACGTGGACAAACAAGCTTTTGGTCCTAACCCCATAACCTACTACCTGTCTGATTTGGGGCAAGTTACTTTAACCTCTGCGATTTTCCATCTCTAAGAAAGATACAAGTAGAGTTATTGTAAGGACTATTTCATAGTATCTGACACACAGTAAGAGCTAAGTTAGATAATATATACCTAAGCTAAGAGATATATATATCTAGGATAGATAGGACAGCTATACATTTTGGGGGGGGAGGGGCAGAGGAAAGGGAGAGAAGAATCTCTGAGCCAGAATCAAGAGTCAGACGCTTAACCGACTGAGCCTAAAATATACACTTTTAATATACATATGTATATATATTATTATTGATAAAATGCACTAACATTGGTTTATGTATGTAGCCACATTTATATATATATATTTTTTTCAAAGATTCTATTTATTTATTTGAGACAGAGAGAATGAGAGACAGAAAGCATGAGAGGGAGGAGGGTCAGAGGGAGAAGCAGACTCCCCGCCGAGCAGGGAGCCCGATGCGGGACTCGATCCAGGGACTCCAGGATCATGACCTGAGCCGAAGGCAGTTGCTTAACCAACTGAGCCACCCAGGCGCCCGCCACATTTATATTTTATGTGAATGAAAAGGCCTTCCTCATAGCATTTCCTGTGGAAGAACACACTGGAGTAATAACTTCAAATGACATGGTCTCCTCGGGGATCCCATTAAGTTCTGCAAAACATTTCTTTCAACTAAATTAGAAGTTCTAAGAGTCCTTTTCCCCCCTCTATTCTTATACAAAATTCTAAACATTACCAAAAAATGCTCAATGAATAGTAAACAATTACTTTTTGGTGCTTTGGGTAAAATTTGACAGGTACTCTTAGTCAAGGTTAACAGGGAGTAACAGACCTCACTGCACAGAACAGATACTTGAGGGATATGAAGGCTGACAGCTCAGACAGGGAGGAAGTAAGCTGTACAACAGCATGCTAGGTGAGACAAACGAGCGACTATGTTATGACACAAAAAGGAAAAGGTGGTAAGGGGTGACCTGTCCTGGGTGGTGAGAGTTTTGATTTCTTATGTGCTTTGAAAATATACTTCCCATCAGCCTTCCACAAAGCAGCTAGCTATTCTGTAAAAAGGAGGTATGCAGAAGCCAAGAAGTAACACAATTCAAGAAGAAAGCCAAAGGACTGGGAATAATCCCCAAGAGGAAAAAAAATGAGGCCAAGACAAAGAGAGAAAACCCCAAAGTGATGAGTGCAGAAATTCAAGTTCACAGCAGCCTTTCTGCCTGGCAATCTGCCAAGAGGTACTAACAGCCTTAGGCATAACCTCTGACCCAATTCCATTTCATCCAATGTTTCCTAAGTAAATAAAGATCAAAGGAAAAACTTAGCTATAAGAATGTCCTACATAATGGAAAAAAGAAAAAAAAGATACAAAGTGAGCTAGTTAATACCACACAATGAATAATCTACAGCCCGTAAAAAGGCTATAGAGGTATTATTGGCATGGAAAGACAGCCTCAATTATATTGTTGAACAAAAAATAAAACAGAATATACAGTATAATGCCATTTTTAGGGATCTCTAATTCTCTGTATTGATATCCCTAACTTTGTATTTCCTACTTGGAATATGTATCAGTAATTATCCCTGGCTGGTGGTATCACGATGACTTAGTCTTTGTAATTTTTCCCCATTTCTTCATTTTTTGTTACTATTACTAAAGTACTAGTACAAAATACATAGAAGCTTTTTTAAAACAAAAAATCATGCACCCAAAAATGGCTGGGCTACATAACCAAGGACAAGTACAAAAGACTGGAACAGTCCTATAAGGAGGGCTAAGGATAAGAATGAGCTATATATTTTGAAAAATATTAAAATGTTTAATATTTATTTTTTAAAAAGGGGTTATATCTAAGCAAGAATAAGTAAAAGCCTGCTGGTATTGTGTTTGTAGATGAAGAAAGACAACAGGATTGTCTCCACTTGGCAGACATTCTCTAGCTGGACAAAGGGTCTTCAAGTGGAAAAGTCACAGTAAACAACCCCGCAGGGGACTGACAAGGTGGTGGAAGAGCACCTCGCCGCTCTGGACGCCTCCGAGTCTCTGGGACCTAGATGAGTAACATCTCAGAGTCCTGAAATAAGCCAGGATTGTTGCTGTAAAACTGGTGCCAGGAGTATGTGGGAAATCAGAGTCCAGGTGAAGAGAGGAAATGGGAGGAGCACCACACCTGTCGTGTTTGAGGAGTCTGATGTAAAACCAAAATCTGGCTGCCTCTTCCTCTTCTGCAAATACGGAGGGAATTTGTTAACCTTTGTGGCTTCAACCTTCTGATTTATAAAACAGAAATAATAATATAGAACTCGCTGAGTGTTGGAAAGGCGCTAATGAGACGATGCTTGTGAAACGCCTCACTGGGTGCCAAACACACAGAAGGCCCTCAATCAGTACGCGGCAGCTACAGACACATATTATAAAAGGCTGGGTCCAGAAATTAGGCACCTACTGTGTGACCTTATTTGAATCTGTAAGTTACCATTCACAATTTAAGTTTGGGATTCTAGATTCGTCCATAAGGAGCAGATAAGAAACACTGATGAGTCATGTGAAGGGCAGAACTGGGAAAAGGGTAGAAGGAGAGGGAAACAGCCTTCAGAACCTGAGACCTAAAAGAGCCACAGCTTCTGGTAGTTGAGAAAAGACTTCATTCCCTTCACAAAGGGACAAATTTCCCTTGGGGAGAGTGACGACGAATGAAAACCAGCACGCTGTTCCATTCCTTACAGGACTCACGAGGATAAGCCAGGGACATGCACTGCAACCCTGGAGTCTCCAGTAAGCTTCTGGAACTCCAATTTCAAGGCAAGGAAGTGACAAAGCACTTGCAGAAGTGGTGGGCGGGAGGGAGGGAAGTGAATGGTAATGGAGCTCAGCTAAGAATCCTAAGAAGAGAGCATCTGGAAGTGAGGGGTAAGAAGAAAACAAATAAAACCCGAAGGCCAGCTCTGGCCATCCATCAAAATTCTTATCATTCCTGCTACAAATGTATTGACAGTCAACTAAGGAGTAAGTTCATACATAAAAAAGGAAATCAACTGAGCAATCTGAACTATTATCAAGAGACTTGCAAATTTTCCCCATTTTCCTTTATCTTGATATTATTTTTGAATTAGCTGTAAACAGCATTTTATCTAGAGGCCCACAGCATAGTAGTTACAAGACTGGGTTTGCATCCTGACTCCATCATCACCAATGTGACCTTGGGCAACTTATATAACCTATCTGTGCTTGAGCTTCCTCACCTGTAAAAAAGGAAAGAAAATACTACTACTTCAGAAGATTGTTGTATGGACTAGGTAAGGTATACATAAATGCTTACAACAATGTCTGGGCACCAGGTATTTGTCATTATCATTACCTCCTTAAATCGTATGCAGTCACATTACCAAGCTGAAGAGGCGGATTTTCTTTAAAAACTCCATTACAAATAAGAAGAAAGAATGTGTCTCTAGAGGCCTGAAATGTTTAATGGGTATGGGGATGCCAGGCCCAGTTCCACTGATAGGATGACTGACAGCTATGCTGGCCTTTTCTTCCCAGTGATAAGGCTGAAAACTATTATTTCTCGCTCTCTACCCAGGGCTCAGAGTGAGATTTACACAAGAAGATATTCAATTAAGCATTTAGAAAATTTTACTTTTGTTTACCGTTTCTGAATGAGTAACACACAGACTTGGTATAACATTCAAATAGGACAGGCTTTACAAGGCAAAGAGAATTTCCCTTCCTCTCCTGCCCCGGGCTCCCCAATTCCCTGGATGAGAGGTAATGCCATCACTTGGTTCTCCTAGCTTTCCAGAAATGAAGCATCATTTAAAACAAGAGAAAGCAACCACATATCCAACAAACTGGTTAATATTTTTCATGACAAATGCAGTTAGGAGGAATCCTTAATAGCTTACAAAGACACTATATTGGTAAGTTAAAAAAACCACAATTTCATTTAAAGTATGACTCCAATTCGGTATAAAAATGCACATTAAAAACATGGAAGAGGGACGCCTGGGTGGCTCAGTTAGTTACTTGTCTGCCTTTGGCTTAGGTCATGATCCCTGGTCCCTGCTCAGCGGGGAGTCTGCTTCTCTCTCTGCCTGCTGCTTCCCCTGCTTGTGCTCTCTCTCGCTCTCTGACAAATAAATAAAATCTTAAAAAAAAAAAAAAGGAAGAAATTATGTCCAAGCACCAAAAGAAACTGCTTCTTTGTTGTGAGATTAAGGTTGATTCTCTTCCTCTGTATCTATCAACCTTTAAAAAAAAAACAAAAAACTTTAGGGATGTCTAAACTGAACAACTATTTCATAACTAGGGGAAAAAAATTACTCTGATGTCATATCATGTCCCGTTATTATTATTATTTGATATCGCCACCGTATCTGAGAACAGTATCTGGCTTCAGAGTGTAACTATCTTGAAGGTTTTCCACTCCTTCCATTTCCAAAATGGAATTGTGAAGAAAATACAAATCACAACTCTAAAGTGACAAAGATTTTTCTTGTTTAAAATGAGCACTTCATGTCATCAAATGATTGTTACTCTTTTTAGAGTGATCACCTTGGAAGACCACACATGTATCCTTAAAGTAGGGGGAAAAATGCAAAATAACACTATGCATTATTTTTGGAAGAAAGCGAACTTACCCCCATGCACCGTGGCTTCATTGCCAGCAGCTCAGGTAGGAAGGCTGGGGCTGGGGTTGGATGTGTGGCACTGAGAAGGTTCTGCTGGGCTCTGGCCCAGAAAGGTTTGAAAAGCTCTCCTCTGCCCCTTGCACTGGGGGAGTGGGCATGCGAGTACAGACTCCATGGTTAAGATTCACTGTGTCAGTGACCAAGGCTATCCCAGTGTGTCCCACACAAAGCTCAGGAGCTGTTCTGCCTTTCCAGAGCCATCATGGGGTGCTAACCTCAATTTACCACCTCCAGTTCAAGAGGAGCTATTCAAAGTTTACACCTGCCACTGGCACAAATGAGGAAAGGCTATGGGTTTGGAAAATTTCTCCTGGAAAACTGGAACTAAGAAAAACACAGGGCAGTGGTTGTGGCGCTTTCTACCCATAAATGCTGGCATCCAGGTATGGGCACTGAGGCAGGCGGGGCTTCCCTCACACACCCACCTGAGGTCAGCACCTGGGCAATCCCAGGAGGGATTGGGCAAGGGTTTTGGGATTTGAATCACGGGGCTATCTGGAGGCTATGAACTTATGTCCTTCCCTTACACAGGGGCAGGGGAACTTACTGCAAGGTCGACAACTGTCTTGATGGCCTTTTCTTTCCTCTTTATGAAGTCATCATCCTGCAAGACAAAACACAGGGATTAAACAAACCCTGTGTGAAGACTGAAACTCAACCGGACTTCTCAGAAACCTATCTTACAAACTGATTTCTCATCACAGCTTTGCCTGCAGAAGCCTCAATCTTCTAACAAAGTGGAATACATTCTACATGGGTAGAAGCTAGGGCCTCTGCAGATGGCTCCAAAGCAGATCCCACAACAGTAAGAAAGACGGGGACCACAAAGTGTCCTGGCGAAACCAAGCATTCCCGGTCAAATCCTTATGAACTCGGACACCCTGGGCAAGCCACCTATCTCTAAGCCTCAGTTTCACCATCTGTAAACGGGGACACCACCACCTACATCAGAGAGCAGCCGTGAAGATTAAGGAGGAGAAGGCATGTGTTGGGCTGGGACTGAGTGTAGTAAGCACTCAGTGGCTATCTGTTGTTATTATTGCCATGGGGGTGGTTATTATTAAACCATTACCATAGGAATGCCCTAGGCAATGACCTAGGTGGTCTCTTGAAAAGCTTTATATGACTAGTAAAAAAAAATATACTCATGTTCTTATAATTTAATAAAAGTTCTGAATCAGGTACTAAAATTGGGAGAAAAGGAGAAAAGGAGAAAATTACTTTTCACCCAGGGCCCATTTAAAGAGGCAGTTCTGATGTACCAGGATGCTGCCCAGGCAGGGGCAGAGACGTCACACAGAGGAGCCTGAGCTTACTCTGCTCCCTCCCGGGGAGTCTCTAAGTGTATACACATGCTCGCAGTTGGATGAGAAAAGAAAAGGAGAATACTGACCTCAGGGAGACTGTAGGTTTTCTGGAACTGGGATATGGAGTAGGAGCGGATGTAGTCACCCATCTCTTCCTTTGTTTCTATAGCTCGCTTCACCAGCCACTGGGAAAGAAAGTTAGGAAACATGAGGATAGAGATGAACCACCACTGTGGTAAAGGCCAATTCAGGGATGGTACAACTCGTGAACCGAAATCACCACACTTGAACTGGCCAGGTGATGAGAAACTATCCACACCTACTGTCCTATGTGAAAAGCAGCCAGTTGGGCGTCTGAGACACTGAGATCCAATGGGATCTAGAGCAGAGTGGCTGTGCAGGAGCCTTAAAGCCTCACGTCGGATGCTCAGGCCTCAGTTTCCCTCTGTGTAGAGGTGAGAATATTGTCTTTCACCTCACAGAGCTACTGTGGGAGCAAATGAAATCACAAGGACCAGAATGCTCTATGAATGCCTGAAGCACAACACAAATATAGTTACACAGACACCTGGTTCTAGTGGCAGATCTGAACGTTACTCTCTTGTGCTGCCTGCACCACAGGCCAGGGAAAGGGAAGAGAGCCTCAGAGAACATCTAGTACAATCCCTTGTTTCCTTGATTCCAACAACCTCCCAAGTATTCAGATTTGAGAACAGGCTTGCTGAGTACACAGCCCTAGGCTTCAAGGGAGCCAGGCACTCACAGCATTTGCTCTCCTAATCCACACAACATTATAAGGTGACTGATGCCAGCCACGTTGTACAGACCCGAAGCTCAGAGAGACTACACAATTTGTCCACTGCTCTGTAGGTAGCAAGCACAACAAGGCTGCAAGTCGCAACTCAGAGGCTCTTCCACACCGGAAGACTGGACATATGAGTTTTATTAAATGTTTTCCAGCTTTACTGGGCTGATACGCAGAACTAGCTGTTCTTCATCGCTCCCTACTTATAATTCCAGTTAATGGCAACACATACAGGCACACCCCCATAACCTGTGGAAGATCCAGGTGCTCTGAGAATAAGAATGCAAAATACAGAAACACAGCCTCTGTTTCTCCTCCCTGGCTCTTCATGCATTCCCTTTATAACTGAAGAGCATTATGGAGGGGGATGCCATCAGTCAGAGTCACCATGCTCTGTCCAGAGAGAGCTACTACATCTCGAAAGCAGTTTGTGGACAGTAGTTGTATTTCCCCACGAGCACCGCACACCTGGCAAGGCTTAGCTACCTAGGAAAGCAGACACGTGGCATATGGACGGCATGGTGCTCCTGCAGGGACGGACAGAATGCTTGCTCGCCGGGGGCAGCCAGCTCAAGTAAAGGACATGTTTAGGACATAGCTGCCCAAGATGGGGGTGGCTGAAAAATAACTCTATGAGGAATACTATTTTGTTGTTAGTATCTTCCATTTATTTCCATCAGTCCACCCCACCACCTCCAAACAATGACCCAGAAGTCAGGACAGAAGATCAGACAGTATTCAGGGCTTTTGTAGCCCCTCTCTCGCACCCCGACCCAGCACCGTGGCCCAGGACAACTAAGGAGGCTGACTCCTTGCTCAACTCAATTTCTCTCTACTTTCCTTTGGATGGGGAGATCCAGTTTCTGGACTTTCAAAGTTGTTTCTTTTTCAGATGTTCCTCCATGAATTAGATCTACACTGAGTTGTTACTTGGCTGGATCCTGGTGAGTGTGATGAGATGAGGAAGGTAAGGAGTCTTAGGATTCAGAGAACTGGTCGCTGTTTTGGAGTTCCTAGAGTGAAGGGCTATGGAGGGAACCTCCTGGATAGCCGAGCTCTGCTGCGGGTCCCTACCATCCGAGGAAAGTACCTACCCTCATGGGGTTCACCTGTCCGGCGTGGGAGAAAAAGATGTGATCTAGAACTACTGGGGCCGGAAGTTAGACCCATTCTTCTCTGGGCTGGCATCCAGAGTGTTCTTAGAGCTGTGCTAACCAGTGTGAACACAGGTGGTGAGCCTCCAGAGGCACATAAGGCAGCTAGCTCGACGACTGCTCTTTCACTGGTCTCCAGCAAAACAGGCAAAAACTACAAGCATGTGGTTAGTTTTTCATAAGACTTTCATAGTATTCCATTGAAAGGACTGTCCTTTATTCTGAGATTGGGGGTTAAAAGGCCTTTCTTTTAGGAGATGCCAGAGAAAGATAGTTGTTACTTAAAACAACTTCTTTATTGAAGTATAATTGATATACAATGTTATATTAGTTTCAGGTGTACAACATAGTGATTTGACAGTTCTATACATTACTCAGTGCTCATCACCATAAATGCAGTCACCATCTGTCACCACACAATGTTACTACAATAGTATTGACTACATTCCCTTTGCTGTACTTCTCATGTCTGTGAGTTATTTATTTGAAAACTCTAAGTTTGTATCTCTTTACTATTCCCTTCACCTATTTTGCCCATCCCCCATCCACCTCTCCTCTGGCAACCAGCAATTTGTTCTCTGTATTTAAGATTCTGTTTGTTTTGATAGTTGTTACTTTATAAAGATATTCTTGCCTGGCAAAATACACGTGGCAACCATGGGTCAGCCTCCATATTTGCTTTAAAATTTTACACATCCATGTAATTAAGAAATCTGGTAACTACTAACCTCGGTTCTCACATCCAGACAGGAGGCCCCCCCCCAGCATTCCATGTACAACACGGAACATTCAGACGTTCGAAATACCCAAACTAGCGACAGATGATCACTTCCCTTTCATCACCTTCTCCTACCTGGACCAGATTTTTTGCTCTCAAAGTTCTAGCCTAGGGCTGAGTAAGGTCTAATCACTAGAGATTCAGGCTTTGGGGGAAAAGCCAGCAACTTCACAGCATGGTGGTGGTGGAAGTTTCAGTTATAATCAACACAGGGTCCCTATTACTGTTTTCACAAAAAGGAGCAGGTACCATCCCTGCTGCATCAGAGAGAGAAAGTCCAATGAACCTAATGAATCAAATTCTGAGTTAAAGTCTTAGCTTCCAATTTACAAATTTCATAGGATTTGATTGAAAGTCTAATGCAGGGGGAAATCCCCAATAACAGTAACAAAACCAGAAATGACTATATAACACTTATAAAGCACTCACTAAAATGTGCTGGTCCTTCAGCTAAGTGCTTTCTACATATTAACGTACGTAATTCTCATCCTGCCAGGTAGGTACTATTATTGTTTCTACTTAACAGACGAAAAGTTAAGTCATTTGCCCAAGGTCATGCAGCTAAGTGGCAGAGCCAAGATCTGAACCCAGGAAGTCTCCAGAGTCCATACTCTCAACCCCTGCGCTATATAATTTTTTTTAAAATTTTTCTATTGTTATGTTAATCCCCATACATTACATTATTAGTTTTAGATATAGTGTTCCATGATTGCGCTATATAATCTTAACGCAGGACCGGAAGACTCTTCAAGCAGGGGCTGCATGAACAGCAGAGTGGGAACAGTACAAGGTTTAGTGACAAGGAGTTTAGGCTGCAATCTTGCTTGTCTTGCACACCAGTTCTCTGCCCTTGAGCAAAGCAGTTACTCTCTGCATCTCACTTGCCTCAGACATAAGGACTGGGATTATAATAGATGCTTCAAAGAACTCTATTAGGATCATTTGCAAAGCGCTGTTCACACAGCAGGCCCTTTGCTCCTCTTCTTTTCAAAGTGCCCAGAGGAGGCTGAGACACCAGACAGCAAGGATGTAGAGCGCTGTACAGCATGAGCCACTTAATCACAAAGCCTTGGGAAACAGCCAGAGTGGAAATAACCTCCCATCAGACATCTAGTTGTCAAATAAAGACTAACTGCCGACATGGTACCAGACTTTCCACGAGGTACTGGGGAGCAAGGCAGCTATGGTGCCTGCCCCCAAGAAGCCCATGGTCTGCCAGGAGGGGCAGAAATGACCAGATATACAGGGTGACAAACTATAGCAAGGAAGATTCCTACAAAGGAAAGGAATATGGTCAGTATGAATGGATAAAGCAAAGGAGCCTGTTCTAGATTGGGGGGCTGGTCAACAGAAGCCTTCTTGAGGAGATTTGGTAGAACTGAAATCTGAAAGATGAATATGGATTAAGTAGGAAATGAGAGAAAGAGAAGAGCTTTCCAGCCTGAGGGAAAGGCCTTGTGACAGGAGGAAGCACAATGTGTATGAGAAAATCGGAAAGAAAGTCAGAGGGGCTAGAACAGAAAGAACAAAGAAGAGCGAGGAATAAAGTTAGGCTGGGACAGGACCAGAGCATGGGGGGCTACGGAGTTCTATCTTTACCAAAAGGGCAATGAAAACCAATTAATGGGAACATTCAAAGATCACAACAGGTGGCGGTGAAACCAGGGTACAAGGGATGGAATACTGTCTACCTTCTGAGAATGACATCAGGAAGCATCATCCTGTCCTGCTCCCCTAATTCCACACCACACCCATTAGACCCAGGATCTAGGCCAGATGGCCTGCTAGCCAGACCCGCTGCAGGAATCCTGACGTGCAGAGGACAAGAAACCACAAAGAGGCTCTCACCTGGACAACAGGAAATATGTGAATAAAATCCATGCCCTGGATCTGGTGGGGCTCCAGCTGGTGTGGACACTTCATCCTTGGCAGGACTGAGACAATTTTTTCTGATAGTGCTCTGTTTGGAAAAAACAACAAGCAAAGAGTGAGAACACACTAAGTGGCCCTTAAGACATCTCTCACGTCTGGGTAGCATTCCAGAAGACTCTGGGGCTTCTCAGTGCCAGACCATAACCAAGCTTCCCCTGGCTGCCTACAAAATGAGAAAAATAAGCACAATTTAGATGGTATGTATGCGTGCGACTGAGGCCACAATACTGCTTTCATGCTTTATTCCAGAATTTTTTTCTCCCTATCTTTTTTATGTTAAACCACACTGTTTCTTTATGAAATTGTGGTGATGTTTGAGGTAGTAATTATTACTGAACATCTTTACATGGTAAAATAGAAAGTTTTCGGTGCCCTATGTTCTTTTACATTTTGTTTTACTGACCTACTTTTTCCAAAGATCTGGGAACCACTAGGTTACACATTAAAAAAATTGTTCTAAATATCATTCAGGCAACAAATAATTACCAGGTCCCATGCCGGGTGCCCAGAATATTACGACAAAACATGGGGCCTTAAAAAAAAAAAAAAAAGAAAGAAAGAAAATGGAGTTCTTCACTGTCGTATAAAAGTATTTTTAAAATAAAAAATAGCCTTTCATTTTTTTAATACTTTAAAATTAATCCTAGATTTGGGGAAACCACGTCCTTGTTCTTTTTTTCCAGAGAGCAGAACTTTTTTGCTTCTCATGAGGGGCACTCTGATGTCTCTCCAACACCTTGCTTCAGTCCTAGGAAACATCGGGGAGTTGGCGGGGGGGAGGACGGGGCTCCTTGAGACCCCAGAGCATCCTTCTAGCTCAGTCAGGAGGCCAGCATCCTCCCCCTGCTCCCGCCTGGACCTGGGTGGGGCACTTATATGGGTGGAGTGATAGAGAGATCTGTGTGCAAGTCCACCCCACGGCAGACTTCAGTTTCCTTCTCTACTCAGCTGATGTTTAATCTCCAGATGTCGGGTTCCTGTTTCTTACATCTTAATTGGATCAGACTCAAGAGGAGAGAGCAGAGGTTATTTAGTGGGTCTGCCTTGAGAAACAGTCACAAGGCATGTCCTTATGGGGCCATATGGAGAAATGGGAGCCTCTGCCTCAGCTTACATGGATAGTTTAGGTTATAGTCCCACCTAAAACCCTTAAAAAAAAAAAATCTTAGCCGGTTCCAGCAGCTACAGTGGCTTTCTCTGCAAGTGAGGACTATTTCCCCAGGTCTTACAAGAAACTTCAAATTCGGGCGCCTGGGTGGCTCAGTTGGTTAAGCGACTGCCTTCGGCTCAGGTCATGATCCTGGAGTCCCAGGATCGAGTCCCGCATCGGGCTCCCTGCTCAGCAGGGAGTCTGCTTCTCCCTCTGACCCTCCCCCCTCTCATGTGCTCTCTCTCATTCTCTCTCTCTCAAATAAATAAATAAAATCTTAAAAAAAAAAAAAAAAAAGAAACTTCAAATTCAGCAAGTCTGGGTCTACCCAAAGTGTTCCTTGCTCAAAGAAACTTTTATCTTTCTGCAGCTCCATAATCCTTCCCAAGAGACACACACCCTTAAGACCAACATCTAATAAAGGCCTGGATGACAGCAATTATTGTCCTACCTATGCTGCCCTTAGTAGGTTCCATCCCCTTGGTCTTGGTGGGAACTAAGTAAAATTTAGGGAGAAAAGCTAAACGGCTCCCCAAGGAATGGTCCCTAGAGAATACACAAGAAAACTGTTTATTCCCGGAAAGTAGCTTTACATGGTGGCACCAAGGTTAAAACTGCTAAGAGAAGTAGTCACACCTACAGCTCCGCGGATCATAATATCAACGTCAAGTCCAGTATGTTAAGAGAAAAAAATATGGACAGGGGAAAACGGACACCCCACTGCATACATTCCCAGGAGGGAAGCCTATGGGAGAACATTTTCACCCCCAACAGAGGGAGTGCATATGTGAATTATCCAAAAGGTCTGAGACATGGAAGGAAACTGTCCAATGACGCTCAGCCACTACTGTAGTCTCTCCTTTCTGAGCAGCCTGTCTTTAGGACACATGCATCTTTTTTGTCATGAGATGTGTGGCTGGCCCAGTGGGGAAGCCTATGGCCTTCCAACTGTTGCTGGGGCTCAAATGGGATAGTTTGGTGGGCAAGTATTAATGAACCCAAATGGCAGGATATTTAAGGCCCTCTCTATAACACACTTTATTTTTTATTTTAATCTCCATCAGACTCTCATGCCTTGTTTAATTTCTCTGAAACTCGTGAGGGGAAGAGACTGGTGCTTAGTTGGCCTTGTTCCCTAAACTCTAAGCTTAGCAAATGAAGATGACCCTGACTTAGCATCCTTGGTCAGGGCAGGTATTAACTATTGATAGACATGGGGCCTTTCTGCTCAGTTATATTTGGGTTCAGTGGGAGGAAAGCTCCCCCTAGTGGCTACAGATCTGAGTCTGCATAGGGTTACTGGTTGCATGGGCAACTGAAGTAGCTTAAAAATAAGAGTCTCGGACCCCCAACACTATCTAGCCCAACCCTCTCTACCTTCAGACCAAGTTGTTTCTGGCCACTGATCAGAGACTGACTACCTTCCCAGGTCATAAGGGCCCTGAGGGAAGGATGCCCTGGGTCACCTCCGGGTTTATAAGCCTCTTAAACCTGCCTCCCAGAAATCACTGCCAAGACTGAGGTCTTACTCGGCAGCATATGGAAGCAGCTGGAGGCACAAACATTGCTGGACCGAGGGAGGGATGTGGGGGAGACATAGGCAGGGATAGGTGGAAAAAGTCAGGAGGACTTCTTGTAGAAGCCCACCAGCCCATTTCTCCCTGGAGCTCAGGGTAGACTCTCTGACTTTCTGAAAATCTGGGTAAGTGACAAATGCAGAGGTCCCCAGTCAGGTTTCCTAGCCTAAGATTTGAACAATGCCCACTTGTTACTACAGGTGATTGGTTGGATTCCTTCAGCTTTTAAGAGTGTTCAGTACACAGGGCGCCTGGGTGGCTCAGTTGGTTAAGCGACTGCCTTCGGCTCAGGTCATGATCCTGGAGTCCTGGGATCGAGTCCCGCATCGGGCTCCCGGCTCGGCAGGGAGCCTGCTTCTCCCTCTGACCCTATCCCCTCTCATGCTGTTTCTCTCTCTCTCTCTCAAATAAATAAATAAATAAAATCTTTAAAAAAAAAAAAAAAAAAAAAGAGTGTTCAGTACACTGTTTCCTCCTCCACTGCAAACAGTTTGAAAGAGAGTGAATTAAACCAGGCACTAAATTACAGCTCCATCACTGGCTCTGGGACTTTTGGCAAGTCACCTGATCCCACTGGTCCAATACTCCCATCATAAAACAAGGAATAATGCCTGTCCTACCTATTCAAATTTACTGTGAAGATGAAATAGTAAAATGCATGCATAAGTGCTCTGCACACAGGTGCCTCCTACTTGTGTGTTACTGAACTCAATTAGAAGCCTAAAATCTCATGACCTCTGGGCATAGGACTCTGCAGTCATGGGGCTTTAGGACAGGCTGGGAGGGTAGAAGGAGGATATAGACAGAAGGCAGAAGCTCTTGAAACCCTCAAGAAAAAAGGATCAACAAGAACAGAAAGGCCTCAATTGGGCACACAAGAAAACAGCCTGAGGGCGCCTGGGTGGCTCAGTTGGTTAAGCGACTGCCTTCGGCTCAGGTCATGATCCTGGAGTCCCAGGATCGAGTCCCGCATCGGGCTCCCTGCTCGGCGGGGAGTCTGCTTCTCCCTCTCACCCTCCCCCCTCTCATGCTCTCTTTCTCTATCTCATTCTCTCTCAAATAAATAAACACAATCTTTAAAAAAACAAAAACAAAACAAAAAAAAAACAGCCTGAAAGATAATGATGCCCTCAAGAGGCAAGTGCACTCCTCAGACAGTGCTACCTGCCCCACCCCCCATCATATCAGCTGGGACATACTGAGGCACTGCAAACGTAAGGCAGTATTAGTCTAAATTGCACCTAACCAGAACATACTACAAAACCAAACAGAAAAGATTTTTGAATAATTCAGTACATTGCTAGGAGTCTTGGTGGATCTTCAGTCCTGCAAACCGCAGTCTCCAGCTTTGCCCACAATTACAGTTCATGGCTCTGCACTTAAAAGCATATCAAGTACTTACCAGAGAACATAATACTGTATATCCTCAACCCCTTATCCAAACCCTTTGGGGCCACATGTGTTTCAGAATTCAGAACTTTTTAGATGTTTGCACATTCCTGTACCTAAGAGGCATATACTGTATATTATGTAGAGCCCAAGTGAAATCTAGAGTAAATCATATATACTGTGTATTATGTAGAGCCCAAGTGAAATCTAGAGTAAATCATATACACTGTGTATTATGTAGAGCCCAAGTGAAATCTAGAGTAAATCATATACACTGTGTATTATGTAGAGCCCAAGTGAAATCTAGAGTAAATCATATACACTGTGTATTATGTAGAGCCCAAGTGAAATCTAGAGTAAATCATATACACTGTGTATTATGTAGAGCCCAAGTGAAATCTAGAGTAAATCATATACACTGTGTATTATGTAGAGCCCAAGTGAAATCTAGAGTAAATCATATATACTGTATATTATGTAGAGCCCAAGTGAAATCTATACTTGAAGAAATTATTATTTCTGCAGCAAAACTTATGAATGTTCACCTAAGTGGGATCAGTATAAACTATAAATAGCCTTTAAAAAGTTCAGGTCATGTTTTGTTCCCAAATGAGTTTTGTATCCACACTTAGAAAGAAAAAGCCTGTTTTCATTGTTTTTCAGATTTCAGATTAAGAATTTGTATAAAAACACTGTACTCCAGTATCTATTAAGAGTACTGTCACTGATGGGAAAGTATCATAACCCCCAAGGACACCAAGGTGAAAAAGGGGCTAAGAACCACTGTAAAACACCAAGGGAATTTAGGAAGAAGGGATAGATAGGATCTAGGAAATGCTAAGATTGGTGCAGAAAGAATGCAACTGAAAGAAATCCCAGCAAATCAGGGGTGCCGCAGGTATCAAAAGCAATCACTTAAGCTGAAACAGAAAGAGGCTTCAATCAAGAGTGTCCTCGAGAAGATGGTGAATTTATGTTAAAAAACAGACTAAGAATCTGGCTGATCTTAGCTACAGGTAAGGCTATGTGCTTCTTTGTCAAAAAGAAAAAAAAAGGCAATCAGAAACTCAAGGAAAATAAGCTGTATAATTATGGGACAAATTACAGTGTGCCTGATTTTCAGTGACTTTTCGTAGAGACCACCTCCACTTGCTCAGGCCAAACACCTCAGAACCATCTTGACTCCCCTGTTATTCACACCCAAATCCAATCTGTCATGACATCCTGTTGTTTCTACCTTCAAAGCAGATCCAGAATCCCTCCACTGCCAGCCCACTGTCCTGGCCACCATCTTCTCCCGTGAGCCTGGCTACAGTATGCTAAAAAATCTCCCTGCTACCAACTTCACCCCCTTAGTCAGTAATCAGATGGTTCCTTCTAAAACCGATTATGAACAGATTATGTTCTTCCTCTGCTCAAAACCCTTCAAGAATTTCCCATCTCACTTGGACTAAACTCAAAGTCTTTACTCTGACCTACAAAGCTCTACCTGATCTGGCCCCCACAACCTGTCTGCACCTTTTCCATTGCCCTTCTCCCCCTCCCCCCACCTCACTATACTCTAGGCAAGCTTCTGCTTGGAGCCTTCACACTCAGAGTCTCCCTTGCTTGGAACCCTCTTTTCTCAAGTCTGAGCTCCCATATCACCTTCTCAATGAGGCCATGCTGACTTAAAGTTAACAACTGCCTCCAAACCATGTCCCTTTTCATATACCTTTCCAGCTGTAATTTTTTTTTCCATAGCACATATATTACTTCTATATATAATTATTTATTAAATTAGTTGTTTATGGTCTATCTCCCCCCTGCAAAGACTCTAAGCTCTGTGAGGGCAGGACATTTTTCATTAACATATCCAAAGTACCCAGAACAATGCCTGACCCAAAGCAGGGACTCAATAAATGTTTGGTGAGTCAATGAATAAATAAGGATTCCTTTTGACTGCAATATTTTGAATATTCTCCATCAAACAGCACCATTATGGTCCAGAAGATTACATTTCTTTTTCTCTGGCACCATCACAATTCTTAGTTCTTATTGTAAACACTGTTTATAGATTTACTTTTAGAATCTACCTGTAGATAAAGCATGGACAATTTAATTGCTATTATAGAAAACAAACTATAAATATTATGCCCTGAACATTGTAAGAGTAATGATATGATGGTAAATGGAGGCTGAAAGTAAGAAGGAAAAACAGATAGCAAAACATTTATATACATAGCTAGGAACCAGGAAAAACCATCTTATGAAAATGAGTCAAGAAACAGAAGCTTATATAGGTTAAAGCTATTCAAGTGATCCTAGAAAAACAGATAATAATTACAAGACTGGAAGATGGGAGACAAAGGGGATGTAGGGAGTAGTACAGGTGAGCTAAATTCCTCCTCTTATCAGATCTGAATGAAACATACAAAGTTAGAGATGTGGAAGTGAGCTCTCTGAAAAATCTAAAACCTAAACAGGCAAAGATGATTCTTTCCAGGGAATAAAACCAGGGTACTGGGAGAGACAGTAGCTGTGTATTTTGTACCCTTCGGCAGTATTTCAATTTTTTTTTTTTTACTTCATGGATGTAGCACCTACACAATAAAAACAAAATAACAAACACACAAGAATAAAAATCTATGTCTGGATTAGCCCAGCCAGCAGAGAGCAGAGCCACATGCCTAGATTCTATCCCGCAGACTCCCAGTAAAGGACTTTTCACAACAGGTCACTGGCTGCGATGCCCCGGTCCCAGAATGACAGATGCTACAGATGTAGAGCTCTGCTATTCATGGCTGGGCACTGATGAACACAGTGTCACAGAGAACAATATGTCCTTTAATGAGCAGCCCAGAGATGTCCTTTGGTCTTATTATTATAAGAATTTTGGTGATTCTGCATGGAATCACCGACTTTTCTTCTGTATGGAAACTGTGACTTGGGTAATTTATCATGTTTTTCTCTTGTTGTTGGCTGCCAGAAAGCTTAGAACCAAATCTGTGGCCCACCCTTAGGAAAACCAGGCATGTTGTGGCCCATGACAAATGCTGTAGCCTTATCCCCAACTTGATTTGTTTTCCTTTTGCTTTGCTTTGACTTTTCTCTATCACTGCTTCATACGCATATTTGTAAGCCACCTTTAATCCATTTGGAAGAGTTTTTTCCTGGGGGAGAATAAAGCTTCAGAAAAATGATTAAATAAGTCACAGATGCACACAGATCTGAAATCACAAATCCCTCTCCTGACAGATAAGGGAACTGAGGCTTGTCCAAGGTCACACAGCTGCCCACTGGCAGGGCTGGGCAGAACTGGGGACCCCTAGTGGTCTAATGAAATCCCCAAGCCCCTGGTGAGCTATGGAAGACTGCGCAGGCTACACTCAGGTGAAACCTCTAGCAAGGAGTCCATGCTGCCTTCTCTCGATGGCAGGCAAAGTGAGGCTCTGCATTACACAGAGGCAATGGGGAAGGAAAGATTCTCTCCTCACTCTATTCAACTTCCATCAAATACGTTCCTTCCAGCTGCCTTTGGAAAGAGATAAACAAAGCAGTCACTGGAAATTCTTAGAGAGTATTAGAAAAAGTATTAGAGCTGCTGAACATCACTCATCATTGGGAAAATGCAAATCAAAACCACAATGAGATATTACCTCACACTGTTAGAATGGCTAAACTCAAAAAAGACTAACTAAGAAGATAACTAACACTGGCAAGGCTACAAAGAAAAGGGAACCTTTGTCCACTGCTGGTGAGACTGTAAATTGCTGCAGCTGCTATGGAAAGCAGTATGGATGTTACTCAAAAAATTAAAAAATTAAAAATTTTAAAAATCATAGAACTACCATATGACCCAGCAATTTCACTTCTGAGTATTTAACAGAAGAAAATGAAATCAGTATCTTGAAGAGATATCTGCACCCCACATTCATTGCAGCATTATTTACAATAGCCAACCATGGAAACAACCTAAGTGTCCATCCATGGATGAATGGATAAAGAAGATGTGGTGTGTGTGTAAACACACACACACACACACACCCCGGAATATTATTCAGCCATAGAAGAAAAAAGGAAATCCTGCCATATGCAGCAACATGGATGGACCTTGAGGGCATTATGCGAAGTGAAAGAAGTCAGAGAAAAACAAATACTGTATGATTTCATGTGTATATGGAGTCCAAAATGACTGAATTCATAGAAATAGAGAACAGACTGGTGGTTGCCAGAGGTGAAGGGTGGGGGGTGAGGGAAACGGGTGAAGGGAGACAAAAAGTACAAAAGGTACTTGCAGTTATAAGATAGATACGTCCTGGGGATGTGATGTACAGCAAGGAGCCTCGAGTTAACAATACTGTACTGTATATTTGAAAGTTGCCAAGAGAGTAGATGTTCATATCACAAGAAAAAGTCGTGATAAGAAAGTTCATATAAAGTTGTGATAAGAAAAAGTTCACATCACAAGAAAAAACATTTATAACTATATGAGGTGATGGATGCTAACTAAACTTACTGTGGTGATCATTTTGCAATACATATACCAAATCATTATGCTGTACACCTTAAATTAATACAATGTTATGTGACGATAATCTTTCAAAGAAACTAGAAAAAAAGAGAGACAGAGAAAGTGTTAGAAACAGTCTGAGCATTAAAGGACTTATAGGCTAGCTGTGTGACCGTGGCTTCTATCAACCTCCATTTCATAATCTATAAAACTGTAATAATACCTGTTGCAATGAAAATTAAAATGAAGTATGTGAAGCATCTAGCACAACTTCTGACACATAGTAGACTCTCAGAAGTCAGCTCCCTTCTCCCCTTTAGGCTCTTCCGTGGCAAACTCTGATAACTTACATTTTTTGTCCTATTGTGGAGTTTTCCTGAAAAAGCAAATCAACGTCTATGTCAAAGCTGCAAGTGGTAATGCACCAAGTCATTCCTCCTACTACCTGCAAGACACAAAGAAAATATCTGTTTTCTCATTCTAGTTTGGGGAGAGGGGAAGAAGTGGAAGGGAGAAAAAAATATAAGTTTTTATAGAATCAATGACCATACAAAGTATGTATCTTTAGAGAGAGAGTACATGTGTCCTTCTGACTCCATCAACTACAATTCATCTAAAATAGCACCACTGAATAAAACTTCTGCAGCGATGGAAATGTTCTGTGTCCACACTGTCCAATACACATACAGCTACTGAACGCTTGAAATGTGGCTAGTGTGACCGAGTAGCTGACTTATATTATGAAACGGACATATCATTCACAGATCCTCTTTATACTGAGGGGGATGGACATTAATTCTCAGCCAGGAGAAGTCTTAATCCAGTTTCGGGTAAGTGCCAGATTCCAGAGGAATTATGTGTTTTGCAGATCAGACAGGTTAGCAGCAAGGCTGACATTTGTGGCTCATTACTGAATTTCCACACATCTTGTTTTTTTCATGTATCTAAAGGAGAGGAGAATCCCTGCTCTACTTTTCTCAGAGGACTTCTCAGAGATACAAATGAGATCGAGGTTAAAAAACCACCCTGAAACAAAATCCTTTTCAGATATAGCTTGATGGGGACTCTGATCTCTGGCTGTGTTTAGACACATGTGAGATGCCTATAAAATACAGATTCCAGGCCCCAGTCTAGATCTAACCAAACTATCAAACGGTGAGCCCTCAACATCTGTATTATAAAATAGTCCACAGTGATTGTTATGCAAAGCCAGGCCATGGCCCACTGGAGCACTCAACACTTTCTTCCACCGGGAAGATTTCCTGGCCTGCTCTGTCTGATCTGGAAGCTTCATTTCTGCTGCACTTACTGCATCGTGACACTGATTCTATGTATGTTGCTTTACTTGTCTTCCTTCCCTATTCTATAGAAGCTGGGCTCTTTGAGTACAGGGCCTTGGTCTGATCTCTGTGCCCTCAACACTTATTACTCTGCCTTGTGCATGATTCTCGAAGGTTCTGCTGAATTAACAGACTTTATCCCATAGTGACTTCTCTTTCCTCCAAATTCAAAATTTACCATCATTAGAATATGTGGCAATTGTGAGCACACTGACTTGGGACAGCTCCTTATTAACTCAGATTTTATCTTACATAACTTTTATCTCTCCACTCAAACTGTAAGTTCCTTAAAAGGAAGAACTACTTCTAATGCTTTTTTGTACTTCCCAAAGCTCTGTACACAGAAAAGGAATTCAAGGCATATCTACTGATACATTTTTATTTTCTTGTAATAGGAAATTGGAACATTTCTAGTAACAAACCTGAATCACAGAGAAACATGGACACTGGAGAAAGTAAAAACACAATCCCTCCCTCTTTTCTCTGCCCTGGTAAACCATTCCGTCCCAACAAAACACAGCCTAATGGTTAGAAAGGTTTCCCCTTACCTTGTCAAAAGGTGATAAGCCTTTAATTCTTGCCCTGAAATACCCAGCTGCAACCAAAAGCTCCAGAATTTCAGTCAGCTTGACATTTTGTTCTTCATCTTCTCTTGTTTCTACCTAAAACAAAAGTTAAAAGTTAGGCTGGTAAAAGCTAACTTAAACAAAGGAACACCGGGTGTATCCCCTGATGCCACAATTTAACAGCTAAGGAGCAGCTGACATTGGCTGTCTCACTGTTCATGCAGGAGCGTGGGGACACAGGGCTGCCATAAAGAACAGCGTCCTCGGGCCTCAATGAGCTGTGTTAATCGTCAGACGTAGTAGGAGAAGACATACACAGGTAGTACAGATTATTCATCTGGTGCTGAAGGAATCCAGGGATAGGAAGATTACAGCACATTACCTCCCTGTTCTCTAACACACTGTTTACTTGACAGGTTCCCAACTAAGTTATAAACTCCTTACAGACAAAAAGAAGGTTTTTGTTGTTGTTGTTGTTGTTTTAAACTTTATGCACATCTTGGTCCCAGAAGCTACTGACAAACAGGGCAAGAACAAAGAAGGGAGTTCAAGTATGTATCTTTCTCTGCACTTCTCTTTTGGATCTCTAAAGCAAATACAAGGAGGGCTTTCAACCTAGATACACTGAAGGATGATTACTGCCACATAATGGGATTGCCTTAAAAATAAGAAATTCATCTAATGTATGAATAGGGATCTAATTTCAAAAAGTTAAGTTGTATCTTACCTTCACTCCCAGGTGTTGATCTACAACTTAAAAACAACTGAAATATTCTAGTACTTCTGCCTCCACCTACTTTCATGAACGGTACCTTTCCTTTCTTCCGTTACTGCAGAACATAAAAAACCAGTTCTCTATATAAAACACGGCCAATGTGTAGCTGGCTCAAATTCTTGTACCCACCTCTAACTATCCCTCACCCAACAATGCCTGTGAACTCTTCCTTTATACATGTCACATTTACCTCTTCCCTTTTAGTTACTCTTCATGCCAGGACTATTGCAATAGCCTCTCAATCTTTCTTCTAGTAATCTGTTTTCCTCACTCCTTCCTAAATCACAGCTTTCACATCCTCCCTCTTTAGCTCATCCCCCAGTCCTTATCATTAACACATCATACACTGTCTGTAAGATAAACTCCAAAGTTTTGGGTTTGGCATTCAGATCTTTGGCTGCAACCTATCTTTTCAGCTTCATCCTTTACCTCCCTCCAAAACAATCCAGTTATGGTTATGGCCAACCTCAAGCATGGCTCATTCCCCTTTCTTCACTGTTCACACCCCTTCCCTTCTGATATTCTCTAGCCACCCAGAAACCAGCTTCAAATTCTAGCTCCTATTTGATGCCAACCCTGACAAATGCAGCCTGAAATGGTCACTCCTCTGCATTTCTATTTTATTTATAGTTCTTGCCATTCATACAATTAAGTTGCAACCTCTTCTGAGTAAAATGTCTGGTGTTAATATATATGCCTCTTTTTTGAAATGGGCTATTAGCTGGATCAGGAAAACCCATATATCATTCAGTCATGTTTAACACCTCTTCTGAAGTAGCATTAGGCTCAAAGGACAATTAAATATGGAATGACATGTTCAATCATCACATAAAGTGCATGACCTATGCCAGTCATGGATTAACAAAATGTTTTCATAGTCATGACACTGATAATGGAAATTCAAGTTTATTTTGAAGTACAAATGCCAGGAGAGGGAGCTTACAGATTAACAAACAGTTGAACAAAGAATTATTAAAGTGATTGACAATCTCTTGCAATAGGAGGTGGTACAGGTGACAGCCTGTTTTACTCCTCTCTCAAATCACCTTGGTCCAGCCCATCAAAGTATTCCCTGGTTCTTAGGGGACATGAAAAATAAAGTAATATTAATTATTTACACCTTCTCTTCCTTTGCAAAAGATGTGGTATAGTTAAGCAACATCTCTAAGTGGGGAGACTCAAAGAAATGAGAAGGTAAAGAGCAATATGGTTCACAAAGATGGGGTAGAAGAGAAAAATGGGATGATATAAGTATTTTCTTTAAACTCCTAGGATGTAAAACAGGAAACTTCATTTGTTCAGTCATCACTTATCATGAAAACACTTCCAAGAAGAGGACATTTCATCCCAGGAGGATCATTCCTGCTTTGCCTTGTACCTAATGAACACCCACTGGCCAACCCCAAGGCAGATGCATGGCCCATGTTTTTTTATCCACTCACCCCCAGAATGGAGAAGTATGTACACTTTTGCAATATAACCTGTGAAATAACTTCTTGGTGCAAGACACTGAATGGAGAATGTTAATAAGACTCCACATTCACTTCACAGATTAATACTGAAACAAAATGAGAAAGGGCCACTGGCTAACACATAGTGACTGAAAGAATACCCTCTCTTGAGGGTATAAAAAGCCATCAGATTGGTTAATACATCCATTGTTAAAAAACTAAAATTCTGATAAAGATGAAAGACTGTGAGCTCTTAAGCCAGGCACGCTAAATTTTCATTTGCTCTGTACTGTAGTTCACGGAAGCTGGAAGGCAGAGCCAATTCTAGCTATCTTCCTATCCTTCACAGACATACAGTAAAGGGTTTAAAAAACTGAATTTAAGGAATTAACTGGATTAGTGACAGCTTAATGACACAGACTATCCATAGTCATATGTACTGGTCTTTGAACTAAATGATAGTAATTTAACTATATCTATCCTGTATGCCTCCTAATTGCCAAGAACTGCCTTAGGTTCCTAGAAAAGTGACAAATCAGACCCAGCCTCCTGGCAGTCAGAGAAGAGTTAAACGAAGGACTCAGAGGATCATGTTGTTTTTTACTTTAGAAAGACCCCCCATTGGGGCGCCTGGGTGGCTCAGTCATTAAGCCTCTGCTTTCGGCTCAGGTCATGATCCCAGAGTCCTGGGATCCATCAGGGCTCCCTACTCAGCAGGAAGCCTGCTTCTTCCTCTCCCACTCCCCCTGCTTGTGTTCCCTCTCTTGCTGTCTCTCTCTGTCAAATAAATAAATAAATAAAATCTTTAAAAAAAAAAGACTCCCCCTCCCCCCCATTTATAGTACTGTGGGATACTGAATTGGAGGGATTTAAGGTGAAACCTGAGAGGCCAGACAGGAGTCTGTAGCAAAAGGCCAGGCAAAAACTTGATGAGAGCGTAAAATAAACAAGTGACCAAAAAAAGAAATATCAAATACCAGGATACAGTTCTGTCTTCACAATCCCCCATTCCATCGATGTAATTTGCATGTAAGGTTTTACCTAATACAAGGGTTCTGACAACATGACATTTCTTAGGGTTTCCTAAGGTTACAACAAAATGGACTTACATTCTGGGAGCATACACTGACAGATAAGTCTGTCCTTCCATCACTATATCCCCAGCCTTTATGCACAGAACAGTGATCCCTCAATTACTGGATACTTGTGGGATGAAAGAATTGAGGATTGGCAGGGGGTGGGGTGGATGGGATGACAGGCAGTTGAAAGGGAAGGAACCACTCAGCATGTCAAGGTATCAGTCCTCCTATCAAATGCCTGCTTCAGAACTTTAGGAGGGGGGTAGAGGTGCAGTGTGGGTTCCATTTCTTTCCAGAATCTAGTACTCTAGACTTAGCTTTGGAGTAAATCGACTGGAAGAGAAGACACCTGCAAACCACCTAGCTATACGACACTTGCAGCCAAAAGGAAATGCACGTTCCCTTTATTCCTAGCCAATGTGGAAATCCGGAAACCACTGATTATCCTATCCCTCAGGATCCAGTGAGTATTTAATAACAAACACCTCTGTAAGGAAAGGCACCCGCTACGTTCTGGGGAAGCAGCAATGCTTCCGCTAGGCGCTCTGCCGGGCCACACAGCCCCACCGGACAGCGCGTAGCCTCCAGCACACAAGCCAATGCGTGCACGGTTCCCAAACTTCCTGCTGCTACAAGGGTCTGGCGTGCATTCCCTGCACGCACCGAGGCGAGTGGGGCGGGCCGTCGGGACCCCGCCGCCGCTCGAGGCGGCAGCAGGCGCCACAAGGTCAACGCCCTTTGCACAACCCGAGCCCGGACCGTCCTAGCACGCGTCTCGTGACTCCCAGGGCGCAGCAGCCCCGGGCTTCGAGGGAGCCCTGCGGCGCTAGGAGTCGGGGGACACTGCCTGGGAGAAGTGGGACCCCGGGCCCCGCGGCGTCTGGGGCTGCGTGGGGCTAGGTATTGGGCTCAAAGACCACCTCCGTCCCGGGGGACCCGAGAGCGGCTGAAGTTTGTCCCCGCCCCCGCCCAGGCAGGGGGACCTGCTCGGTCCCCGGCGCACAGGGCCAGCTCGCCCCGCGGGGGACACACCTGAGAAGGGGGCGGGGCGCCCCAAACGTTGCCCGGGCCCCGCTCTGCCCGCCGCCCCGCGGGCTCGGCCCTCTCCCAAGAACCCGGACGTGTCAGGGAGAGGGAGGTCCTTACCTCCGGGAGACCCTGGCCCTCCGGCCCCTTGGGCAACCCCATGGTCCTGTGACAGACGTGAGGCGGCGGCAAAGCTCGCGGAGCGTCCGGAGGAAGCTGTCCCCGGCCGCGAAGCTGCTACCGGGGTGGAGGCAAAGCGGAAACTTCCTCCGCAGCCGCTGCCGCCGCCGCCGGCCGGGAGCTCGGCGGCCCGGCGGAGCATGCGCGCTGGGACGCGAGCGCGGCGCAACTGCGCCTGCGTGAGAGCAGCCCGGGGCAAGGCTGGTCGGCTGGGGAAGTGGGAGCTGCTGTCCCGCTGGGCTCTCCGGCCGGTGTTCGCGGGAGCCTTTCTCCAGAGCTCCGCAGTGTTCTCCGAGGTGCTTTACAAAAGGGGCGATTCCTTCATCTCGGGGAAATTTTGCATTTTGGCTCCCTTTCGGCGTTTCACAGGCATCGGATGCCCCAAGTGGGGGTGCTGTCAGCTCCGTGAGCCGGACTTCGGAAGCCCCCTCGCTCTGGTGTTGGAATTCCAGCATGAATGCGTTTGGGAATTCCAGACCCCGGCCCGGTTCTAGCTGAATCGGGGTGTTCTCTGCTTCACGCGCACTTGGGCAAGCTTCTCGCTGTATATCCGGACCTGGGAACGGAGCCCCCGAGAAAGGCTGCACGCCCGCTGCTTCCACAGTGTTCCAGCCAGTGCGTCTTGTTTCCCAGGAAACCTGGTTTGGGATAATATCCCCCTTCCCCCAACATCGCTAGCTCTGTTTCTTAGGAAAAGGTCATCTCTGAGAGTGCAACTCGGTTTTGACGTCATTTTAGCTGCTACGTCGCTTACAAGATGCACCCCTTGTCTGTCCCAGAAGATGGATGGCAGTTATATTTTAAAAGGGTTGTCTCCCGGGCCACAAGACCCCCTCCAAACCCTCACTTGCTTCACAGGGGCTTCTCCAGCTTTTTAAAATTTATTTATTTCGTTTTAGCGATGAAGAAAGAGGTGACATGAAAATTTGCTGTATAAGAAATCGTTCCCTCTGTGTGTTTGGGGGGGGATGGGGGAGTGGGGAATGTGAAGCTCTGAGCTCCTAGAGATCAAGAGGTGTGTGTGTGTGTGTGTGTGTGTGTGTGTGTGTGTTTCCTCTCTGCATACCTAGCATAATAAGTAGATACTCAGTAAATGTTTGTCCTTGAAGGAATTCTTTGGGCTTTTTGGTACTTTTCCTGGAGTTTGTCCTGACCCAATACCCATGTGGTCTCAAAGGCCCTAAGAACCGCCATTTCCTTCTTAAATGCAGTTTGCTAATACTGCTAACAAAACTGTGTGCCAGGCAGCCCAAATTTGAGAAAATTGAATAAGGAAATTAAGGTGTTGAAATGGGAACTCTCTTAGCAGAGTTATGTGACATCTTGAACTCACCCATTGGGAAGCCAATGAATCTCAATTTTTAAGGCACCCATTCTCAACTTCCCAAATGTATTTATTTTTGTAATTTTAAAATCGCCCTTCCCCGAGGTGGTATAGGATGAGAGGGAATGGAGGGTAATTTGTGGCCGCTGTTGAATGACTAGAAAGTATTGATGCCTGGGGACAGATAGCAAAATCTCACATAGCAGGCAAGCCTAAATAGCTGTATATAAAGTAGTTCAGAGAATAGGAGGGTCTGGAGAATAATAAAACTCAGGTGGGCCACACGCAAGTTCCCTGTTGTAAATGCCTTTGCAATGTTTAAATAAACATGAGCAGCTAACTTTCCCAGTTTTACAGCCTGTGTGAGGTGACAGTAGCAGAGTTGGGTTGGGAGCATGCCTTTTTTTTGTTTTTTTTTTTCCTGAAAGATCCCAGCAAAACGGCCATGGCAGCAGTCAAGAAAGCTTGGGCTTCCTGTGTTTGAGAGCAGAGCCCCAGTGCAGCTTTGGAGAAGACCTTGAACAGACAATGTCAGAGAAGGAGGTTTGTGAGGACTTTGGAATAAATGCATCTCTGTCCCTCTCCACTGGCTCAGGGTACCCATACACACATTTTGTCACCCTAGTGGGATCTTTGGGGATTAGGGATCATTCTCTCTCTCCTTTGCACATTCAGTACAGAGCTGTGTGATGTTTTTCTAAGTGCAAGATTCTCAGGAACCTCACAAATAGTTTCCCTTTTTGGGTAAAAAAAAAAAGGGGGTGCCATAGTAAAGAGCTTCCTGTTAGGATTACCTTTATCCTAAGTGAAGTTTTCTAGAAAGCCTCAATCATTTTGTTCTCATTTCTCCCAGCCCTTCCAACTTGGCTCTTGCTGTGACCAAGAAGGAGTATATGAAGTCTTAAAGAAGGAAGGGATCTTAAAGGCATCTAGTGTGTGTTTAGGGAAGTAGAGTGACACAGTTTAGGTCACATAGCATGTTAGTGGCTGTGCTGAGACCAGAGCCCCAAATTTCTGATTCGTGATGTCCTTTTATTCATCTATCAAACGTTCATTCATCCAACAAATATTACTTCTATGTCAGTGGCTCTCAAACTTGCTGCACATTGGAATCATGTGAGCAGTTTTAAAAGCTACCAAAGTCTGGATTCTACTCCCAGAGATTCTGCTTTAATTGGTCTGGGGAGAGACATAAATATGGGAATTTTTTTCCCTTGGCGTGTATTGCTTTACATGCAGCACAGTAGTGAACAGTGACTTCAGAAGTTTCTTTATAGATCACAGTGGCACACAGAATTTAAGATCCATAAATGAGCTAAGAGTCTTTAAGTTAAATGAGTTCTTCCTGAAAATTTTTAATCATATGCTAATCTATTCTCAAGCAGTAAAGTTTTACAACACACCATCCTATATTTAGCATATCACATTTCTATAGTAAAAAATGAAGGCCCGGGCCGTGCAAGCAAACCTAAACCTCCTCTGCTTCTGGACACGACCCAGCACGCGCGCGCGCGCACACACACACACACACACACACACACACACATGCATTCTGTATCTCCCATAGAAAATGAGATCTCACATTTTCTTGGTAAAGTGATTTAATAATTAAAAATTTCTTATTTTGGGGGGGCAAGATTTTTAAAATTTGAAATGTTTAAAATTTCACAGGTGATTCCGATGAGCAGCCAATTTGAGCCCCACTCTTCCCTGTGCCAGGGAATAGTTCCTGGTGCTAGAGAAATTGTAGTCAGCAAGCCAGACAAGATAGTTACTGCCAGAAATGAAACATGCCACTTAATAAGATAATATCGGCTAGATTAGTGCTCTTCAGGAAAAAAAAAAAAAAAAACCCAGTGAAAAATATGATAGGGAATAGCTGGAGCCCAAGACTCTTCTAGATGGAGGGATGAGGATAGGACTCTCAGGCACCTTTCGAGGGGCGATCTAAGTCTCAAGAAGGCACATGAAAAGAGCTCAGAGAAAAGCATTCCAGGCAGAAGGAACATATGGGATGTTCTGGACAACCTCTGCCCCCCCTCCAGACCCACTGTTTCTTCTCTCACCTTGCTTGCCACCAGACAAGGCTGGCTGGTAAAGGCTTCATCAGCAGGGCCTGGCACGTCAGCACCTGTAGTATGAGGAGCTGGAGTGTGGGTCCTGGAGGGTAGAGTCTCAGGAGTCATTTGGCAAAATGTATCAAGAACTTAAAAAGTAGGGGCGCCTGGGTGGCTCAGTTGGTTAAGCGACTGCCTTCGGCTCAGGTCATGATCCCGGAGTCCCGGGATCGAGTCCTGCATTGGGCTCCCTGCTCGGCAGGGAGTCTGCTTCTCCCTCTGACCCTCCTCCCTCTCATGCTCTCTGTCTCTCATTCTCTCTCTCTCAAATAAATAAATAAAATCTTAAAAAAAAAAAAAAAAAGAACTTAAAAAGTATCCTTGGATGTGATGCTGCCACTTTTAGGGCTTATGTACAAAGATCTTTATCACAATGTTATTTGTGAGAGAAAAACCTGGAAACCATGTCAATAGCCCATGAAAGGGAGTGGTTAAATACATTTTAATGTGTCCATTTTGTGTGACAGGATGTTGCCAGTAAAAATGTTTACTGCAGCAAGCCATGCAAGAAAAGGGTGAGATGAAGCTAAGTAAATAGGAACAATGTCTGCCTGTCCTGTCAGAAAATCAGTAAAACATTTGAAAGGCAAACTGGAAAAATATTCATTACCTGTGACAAGAATTCTTACAAATGAGAAAGAAAAATTTAATACAAAAGTGAGCGAAAGAAAAAAAATTGGACAAAAGACTTGAAGAGAGAATTTCTAAAAGAAATGGTCACTAAACATATGAAAAAAATTCTCATTAAATAATTAAAAAATTAAAATGAGGTACCTTTGCATGAAAGTAATAATTACTGTTTAAAGGACATTAAACCGCCATTGCACTCCCTAGTCAATAAGTAAGTTTTTATGAAGGTTCTAGAGGGTGATTTGGCAAAGTTAATTTTTCGCCAAATATGCATTGAGTGCCTACTGTGTGCCAGGCACTGAGAAGCAATTTCAGTGAGGGTGGCAGGAGTGATTCAGCATCCAGGGGGGCATTTGGAGTTTTCACGGCGACTGGGAAGTATTATCAACATTTAGCACCCAGCTGTTACTGATGTCAAGGCTCCTGCATTGACTTTGGGTCATAAGAATTGCTTTGGCCAGAGGAATGTGGGAAGCTATGGGATTGTGTCAGTTTGGGCTGCGGTGCTAAGAACTCTTCTGTGTTTCCATCACTCTCTTATGGTCATTCCATCCATCATGAGAACCTACCCAGGCAGCTGCTGCTCCCCTGGCCTGGGCCTCTGACTGAGAAACAGACATGAGAGAAGGGAGGGGACCTGAAACCCCAGCCCAGCTCAATCCAGCCGGCCCTGTGAGCAGGATATCAATGTTTGTTCTGAGCACTGAGATTTGGAGTCGTTTGCTAAGTGTGGTCATCATGGCATCATCTGACTAATACACCGTATGTACAAGGAAGAATTGTCCCTCCAAATACCATCCCCTGCCTGGCAAACACGGGATACAGAAAATGAGCAGTGGAGTTGTGGGATGAACGTGCAGTCAACAAATAATCACATCAACAACTATATGTTTGCATGTTGAAGTCAGTGCTCTTAATGGCAAGTTAAAAGGTGGGATGAAAAAGAGGAACAGAGGTACGATTTTGAGTGAGAAGTCAGTGAAAGTTTCTCCAAGGACGTGACGTTGGAGACCTAGAGTTGAGCAAGAGTTAGACACAGAGTAGGGAAAAGCATTTCAGGCAGAGGGACCTGCATGGC